GTCAGCCAATCAATCAATCAATCGATCAATCACACAATTCTCCATATTAAAAATTCAACCAACTAACCATTTAACTCAGCAGTATTTGACAATTTATTTATAGATGAATGATCAAACAACAATACAGCCAATCAATCATCCAATATGTCAATCAGTCGATTACTTTTATTCAACCAACAAACCATTCAATCAATCACCCATCTATCCAACCATCTATTCAATCACCCATCCAATCAATCATCCGTTCAACCAACCAACCAACAAGCCAATCAATCACCCATTCAACCTACCAACCAACCAACCAATCAATTACCCATTCAACCAACCATCCACCTAACCAACCATTCAACAACCAACTAACAAACCACCTCGATCAACCACTTAAAAAATCAGTCCTACCTATCTGAGAACCAGTGTCGTAACGCCTCTCCAGTAGCCAGTCCCGCCATGGCGAGGAGAGAAAATGATTTTCAAGATTCTCCCTCGTCGTCCAATAGGAACTCCGTTGTCTCCTCAACAAGGTTTCTATCATTCTTATTATTATTCTTATAATAATGAATGAATGAATGAGTGAATGAATGAATAAATGAGTGAATGAATATGTAAACGAACGAATAAACGAATGAATGTTTTGATGAACAAAAAAAATGCCTCGTCAACAGTATACAAGCAGCGTCAACAACAAACAATCGCGCCAACAGCGGCTACAACAGCAGCAGCAACGCGCCTACTACGGCGACATCGTCGTCATCCTACAGACACCAGGATAGTTTCTCTGATGACGATGAAGTTGATAGCAAAATGTGCAGTGCCCTCTATGATTACGAAGGTTTTGTGTTCTGTATTAAGTTCTTTTCCTCTGTTCCTTTATTTTTCAATTTGTTTATCAGTCTGCCTTAGTCTGTATATATATCTCTCTTTCTTTTCTCTCTCTCTCTCTCTCTCTCTCTCTCTCTCTCTCTCTCTCTCTCTCTCTTTCTCTCTCTCTCTCTTTCCATGCTCATTTATTTATTTGTATGTGTTTATTTTGGTGTGTTAATTTGTTTATGTATGTGTGTGTGTTTATATGTATGTGTGTGTTTATGTGTATGCGTGTGTTTGTGTGCGTGCATGTGTTTCTGCTTATGTTTGTGTTTATGTATCATCGCTTCATAAATTTATATGAGTTGGTCATCTGATTAACTAACACATGACCACCATTCAGAGGTTATTACCTCTATTTAGCTATAATATTTATCAATATAAAATACTTCTGTATTAAATAATTATGTTGTTTATAATATAATATAATTAAATACAGTTGGGTATATAATTATATGATGCTATGTGGGCAATTAAGAGAAATATCAATCAATTAACTGATTGCTAATGAGATGTCATTTATCATTTGCCAGTTTAATAAATAGATTATATTATCGATGGAATTTATTATTATTTATTATTTTCTATTGGTAGCGTAGTAAAAGTCATCCAACTATCATTAGTTTATTATTGTATTAGTTATATATATTAGTTATTTGATTGATTGATTGACTGATTGATTGATTGACTGATTGATTGATTGATTGATTGATTGATTGATTGGTAGGTTGGTTGGTTGGTTGGTTGATTGATTGGTTAATTGATTGATTGATTGATTGATTGACAATTTAAGGATCGGGCGATGGCTCATCGCTACCTATTAAGGTTGGCGAGGTCTTCACAGTCCTGAAAGACGAGGGAGACGGCTGGCTGATGGTAAAAAATGCCAGGGGGGAACAAGGATACGTGCCTTCATCCTATGTTCAAATGCAATAATGGGACCAGTATGTGTGTATGCGTGCGTGCGTGTATGCGTGTGTGTATGTATGCGTGTGTGTATGCGTTTATGTGCGTGTATGAGCGTTTGTTCATATGCTTCATTGTCTTGCGCTTACTCTTCATCATGTTTGTTCTATTTAGTTTATATATATATATATATATATATATACATATATATATATATATATATATATATATATATACATGTTTATGTAAATATGCTGCATTTATGGGATTAAACTTCTTACAAACAGATTTACTGAATATATATATATATATATATATATATATATATATATATATATATATATATATATATATATATAATGGCCACTATTTTACTCAAATTATTAACATTTTTCAACGAAATTAACTGTTCATAATTTCCCGTTTATATTATATTTTTTCTTAAATTAATTATTAACCTTAAATACTTTTAAATAAAAATGGCGCAAAAATTAATTGTGAATTAGTTAATATATATATATATATATATATATATATATATATATATATATATATATATATATAACGCATTTTATAAAATTTTGTCTATTCATTAGTTGTTTATATGTCATGTTTAAACTTAAACATTGTTGCTCGTTTGTATGTGTGTGTGTGTGTATGTATGTTTGTATGTGTGTGTGTGTGTATGTATGTATGTATGTTTGTATGTATGTATGTAGATATGTTTGTCTGTTTGTTTGTATTCATGTGTTATTGCTTTTTAATATATGCGTGCCTTGGCTGCTTATTGTTAACTGAGTAAGGAATGAATAACGATGACGATGATGAATCTGGTTATGAATGATATAGTCCGATGATTTGATATCATATAATGATATTGATATGATATAGCGTTGGTGAGGATAGATTAAAATTTATTAAAATTAATTTCTTCGATTAAAAAATATAATTTGTGTATCTAATATTATTACAAATTATATTATAATATTATCTATTATTTCTTATTATTTTTTTTTTTATGAGAAAAAAATTATTATTCAATCATGACAATCAGTTCAATCATGTTCAGTGTTCGTTTTTCCTTGTTTGCGTGTATGCTTTCACTCGTTCGTTCGCTCATTCAGTTATTTGTTCACTCATTCATTCATATATTCATTCTTTTATTCATTCATTCATTCATTTATTTTTCTATCTACCTGTTTGTATACAAAAATTATTTGTAGTAGAATTAACCAATGGTTTTGGTAAACTTTTGTATGGCATGACAAAATTATATACATGTGTGTATGTATGTTTGTATGTATGTTTGTATGTATGTATGTATGTATGTTTGTTTGTATGCATGTATGAGTGGGTGCGTTTTTCAGCTTAATAATTGAGCTTTCCAGAAAGATTTATACATTATACAAAAAATAAAATCTCTAGATACTAATTATTTTATTAATAATGTTTATTCAGCTCCTTATTAGTTGTTGGCTCTTATGTATGTATTGTTTGCTTGTATGTTTGTTTGTACACGTATGTATGTGTGTGTGTGTGTTTATGTATCTATACAATACAATTCAATACAATATGTATATGTGTGTGTATCATCCATATGTATTTATGTATGTACAATCTTATGACATAAAGATAGATAGACATGCGTAAATATTAGAATTTTCATGAATTTAAAAAAAATCTTTCAGTTAGTTTTCATTTGCAGTTTGATTGATTATAAATATAGATAATAGATTTTGTAGTTTATAACGAACACGCACGCATACATACACACACATATATATAGAGAGAGGGAGAGAGAGAGGGAGAGAGAGAGAGAGAGGGATGGAATGCACCAACAAAAAGTACTATTTATAATCTGATAATCTTCAAATTACTTAATTACAGTTACATCTAAATTAACATCCAAAAGCTATATATAAGTAATTGAAGTAATTGCCTTTGTGTCCGTTGCATGTGTGTGAGAGTGTCTTTATGTGCGTGTGAATGTCTGTCTGTGTGTGTACGTATGGTTTGTATATAACTTACATCATAATAATGATATATACTTATTAACATTTATTAACTTTATACATTAAAAAAAAACATAGGGTTCCAAGGTTTTTTCTAAAGAAGTTTTTTCTCCATTTTATTCTATCAAAATAGTTGAAGCATTAATGCTGTTTTGTGGTCTTTTTTAAACTTACACAGACACGCGCACACACACACACATATATATATATATATATATATATATATATATATATATATATAATAGGGACTGTAACTTCATTCCTTTTTATTAAGCTTTCCAATTGCATATATTAATGAGCATATAAATGATTACACAAGCACACACACACATATATATATATAGTGTATTTTATATATAAATATTAAGCTGTCCTTTATATATATTTTAGCATTACATGCCATAAAGGATATTATGTGTTTGTTATTATTATTCTGTTTATTATTATTATTTTCACTTGTTTATTTTGTTCACTTTATTATTTATCTTTGTTCATCACTCATGACCTATTTCTATTTAATTCAAATTTTTGCTTTTAAAAACTGAATAATTATGTAATAATAAAGTACTTGCAGTTTTACCGAATGTTATTTTATTAGCAGTAGTAGTAGTATTATGTATGTTTGTATGTTTATTTGTTTTTATGTATGTATGTGTGCATGTATGTACGTGTATGTGCGTATGTATGTATGTATGTATCTATGTGTGTATGTATGTATGCTTAATTGTTCGTTTTTATCATTTTATAAATCTTATTGAACTATATGGCATGCAAAGAATATATATATATATATAAGATAAATTATAATAAATTAATCACATCAATTATTTTTATTCTTTTTATATATTTTTCTGTTTAATCATCAAAAAATCGATGTTTTACATTTATTATGCGTTGCATTCAAAACGTAAAAAATGTACATTGAAATAAAAAAAAACATTTATGAAATGAAGCACTTTTTTAGACCTGATAAATTTGAATTGAAATATTAAAATAAATAAAGAATAATAAAAATAAATAAATAACGATCTAATCTCTATAAAGTTGTAAAAGTTATCCCTAAAAAACCCATTCAAACCCATTTGGAATGATGGCGGTACGTGGCATTAACGAATGAGCACCTGAAATGTGATTCAATTAGTCACTTTTGTCTATGTAATTTATTTCAACAGCTGATCAAACATCTTCAATCAATCAACCAGCTGATCAATCTTCAACTAATCAAATTTCCGAATACGATTCGTGTACATATCTGCTACTTTTAACTCTGTTGCTATAATTTCTCTGGAGGCCACTCGCTCCGCCACCAGCACCACAGCTGCCAGCCGCATCATCGTCGTCGTCGTAGTAATCGTCGCCATCGTCAGGCACATCAACGATCTCAAATTTTTTCCTTTCGTAACTACTACTACCGCGAACCGAACTAATTCTCCTTGTAAAACTGGCTCCTGATAAGCTGTTTAAATTTTCATGACCACTCGCTCGCAATAGCGGCCTCAAAATCGGCTCGTCGTTAGAGTTGTCGTTGTAGTCGGTCTTTTTCTGGTAGTTCAGATTAGTTGAGTTCGTTTCATGTAGCGTGGGATGAACGTAATGGTCGTATTTGTAGTTGTAGGCAACGCTACAGCCGTCAATCATTGAGATTTTGTTGCTCTGTTTTGTTGTTGATGTTGTTGCCTGGTTGATGTCAGTGTTGTTGATGTTGCTGATGCTTTCACGCTGGTATGAATTTCTATGGATGTTGTCATCGCTGGTCATGACATTATGGGCTGTTGTTGTTGTGTTGATGTTGTTGTTTGATTGTCTCAATAGCACTGTCTGACTGTTTCCCTCTGTGTGGCCAAGGTTGACCTGGCCGTTGTAGCTGCTTGAGAAGCTGTTGTTGTTGCTGCTGCTGTGAATGTTGTTCTTAATGTTACTGATGTCTCCGTTCGTTTGCTGGTTGCTGTAATGGTGGTTATACCGCGGTTATATTGAGTTGGATGGTTTCATTTATAGATAAAATTTAATAAAATAGTTGCATCTATTGGAAAGTTTAACGTAGATTCCTTTACAATAAATCTTACAACTCATTCATTTATCATTCAGTCATAATTCATCATTCATTCGTTTGTTCGTTCGTTCATTCAATCATTCATTTGTTCATTCAATCTTTCATTTGTTCATTCAATCATTCATTTGTTCATTCAATCATTCATTTGTTTATTCAATCATTCATTTGTTCATTCAATCATTCATTTGTTTATTCAATCTTTCATTTGTTCATTCAATCATTCATTTGTTCATTCAATCATTCATTTGTTTATTCAATCATTCATTTGTTCATTCAATCATTCATTTGTTCATTCAATCATTCATTTGTTTATTCAATCAATCATTCATTTCTTCCTTCTTTCAATCATTCATTTCTTCCTTCTTTCAATCATTCATTTCTTCCTTCTTTCAATCATTCATTTCTTCATTCAATTATTCATTTCTTCATTCAATCATTCATTTCTTCATTCAATCATTCATTTCTTCATTCAATCATTCATTTATTCATTCAATCATTCATTTATTAATTCGTTAAATACCTTGAGGCAAATCCACTGATATCCACGCTTCTCAACTGCCTGCTACTGTTGTAGGCCCGCATTTGCTCTTTCTCTTCGACTGACAGTACGAATTTATTCTTTAATTTACTTTTAAATTTATTTTCAGTAAATTAATGAATGATAATAAATTCAACGATAAAGTAATGAATTTTCAAGTTTAGTTTTTAGTAAATTAATGAATGAATAATAAATAAATAATAATAAAGCCAATGATAAGGTAATGAATTTTCAAGTTGTCACCCAGTGACTTATGAAGAAAATAATTGTACACATCATCAACAACAACATCAACAACAACAACATCAACAACAACACCAACAACAACACCACCACCAACAACAACAACATCAACAACAACATCAACAACAGCAACAAACCTGAATAAACTTCTTTCTTGTCGGCACAGAACCAGCAGCAGGGCGAACAACGCAACCAACAAACGCAACAAGCGCAGTATCGCAACCAACAGGCGCAACACTCAATGCAACCGCAACAAAACAACAAAAACAACAACAGCAGCAGCAACAGCAACACTCCCACGACTATCAGGGAGATCCACCAAAGACTAGCGGTTCTCGGTGGGGGTACGATTTCTGAGTGTTTGTATGCGTGTGTTGTATGCGTGTGTTGTATGCGTGTGTTATTTGTGTGTATGTGTGTTTGTTGTATGTGTGTTGTGTGCGTGATTTTGTTAAGCAAAATAACAACAAACGACACACACACGAAAAAAAACACACTAGCAACACAAACAACGATACACAAAAGAAGATAGCACTCGCAAACAACCTTCATATTTCAGCGATACGACTTTCTCATCTGTGGAATATTTGTTGGTTACCACGCATCTGTAAGAACCACACCTATGCCGGCCACCATCAACTTCTCCAGTCATGTTGATAAGTAGGGACCTGCCATCTGCCGATATTATCAGCCTGGGTTGGGTAGGTAGATAGATAGATAGATAGATTGAGAATGGGTAGTGTAAGAAATTAATTTTCATAATTTATGCTAAAGTTATCTCTGTCGTTTTCATCATCATATGTTTATACTTCATCATTATCATCAAAATCAGAATCAGAAACAGCACCCACAACAACAGCATCGTCATCATCTTTTCCAACCACAACCATATTATCGCAATCCACATCATCAGTTTCTTCAAAATCGTCATCATCGTTGTTATCATCATCCTCGTCTCCACCACCACCACCATCATCATCATCATCAACCTTTCATCATTTCCGGGAAGGATTTGATTTTCCCGGAAGTACCAGAGAACAGTGACATCTGTCGAGGCATCGTTGAGGTATGCCACGCTGAACTCTACCGCTACATTGGCTTGCCATACAACGTCTCTTAGATTACTTTGGTTGTGGTTTATCGTTGTTCGTTCTGTCGTTTGTTAAATTGTTTGATCATTTGTTTGTTCATTTTTTCGTTCACTTGCTTATTTAATTGTTCATTTGTAGATTTTTTCATTAATTTTACCCAACTATCCATCTGTCTAACCAACCATTTAACTAACCAGTTAACCAACCATTCATTGATTTATTCAATCATTCATTCATTCGTTCGTTCGTTTGTTCGTTCGTTCGTTCGTTCGTCCGTCCATTCATTCATTCATTCATTCATTATCAATCACTCTTTAAACTGCACCTAGAACATTAACGTATCCCTCGGCGTATGCATACGTCACGTAATATCCGTTATCGGCCCCCACCTGGCACTGTACGACCGCCAAATCAGGGATGTCACACATTTTGCATAGATCTGATATCGTTAGTTGGTTTCCATCTTCGCTCAGCGAATATTTATTCGGCAGATTAGATGCTAAGAATTGATTTTATTATTCAGAATATAATAAAAAAGTTAAAATTAATAAAGTTTCGCCGATAAAACCCCCTCAAAAAAAAAAAGAGCAAGACCCACAATTAAATTGCTCTGCGTTTCGAAACCAGGTTCTGGTGTCCGGTATGACATCTGTCGAGCAGTTAAATGATATCGTCTGCCCCTCAGTTGCGTTCACATTGTGCGGTCTATGGAGCTCACTGGCGAAGGTAGGAGGAGCTAAGTGGGTGACGTCATTGCTTTTTGATTGGCACAGTTAGTGTAAATTATTATTTAATTATGAATAAATATAATTAACGTAAATAATTACACCGTCGTTGATAAATCTCAATCAAATTACCAAATTGCCAGTTAAAATAACCAACAAAATTAGTTATTATGGTAATATGCTGTGATTTTCATCAATAATTGCTTTTCTGGCAAAAACCAACTAACTAATGACAATAAGATCGAAAGCATAAACAGCAGAAGGGCTCCCAGCACTAAAACCCTGACACATGTACCGACCAGCATGACCCTTAGTCAGATTGGCTACATTTTTTATTTGGGTGCCTCCTAATTCCTCAATCCATTCACCGTCCGGCAGTTCGGCGTTGTCTTTTAACCATGTTACAGTTGGGGTTGGACTGGGGGATTAATTTCATTAATAATATTAACAATATCAAATATAATTTTAGAAATAATAATAATATTTTTTATTATTATTCATTAATTTTTTCTAAATATAACGAGGGAACACTCACTATCCCGAAAAGAGGCATTTCAACGTGATGATTTCGCCAGCATTAGCGAGCACCTGACCACCATTCTGCCTGCCAGAACCGGTCATAAATGCCGGCCGAAAACGCATCAGAGCCGTTTCTACGAACAATTTTTTTGTTTTTGTATTTATTAAGTGCAATTTCAAAATTATCACTGCCTACAGTTTTCCTATTATATATTTTTTTTTTATTAAAGAGCAAATTGTCGACTGTCTACAATTAGGTACGTCTGTCTACCAAAGATGAATGAAGAATAAGCAGGTATCTAAATGAACAAAAAAAATAAAACAAAATTGAAATAAAGCATGAATGAATGGATGAATGAATGAATGGATGAATGAATGAATGAATAAATGAATGAATGAATGAATGAATGAATGAATGAATGAATGAATGAATGAATGAATGAATGAATGAATGAATGAATGAATGAAGGAACGAACGAACGAACGAACGATTGATTAATGAACGAACAAATGACTAAACGAAGGAATGTAAAAGATGATATGCGGTTTTATATGAAAAGGAAACTTCCCGCTAAAGTCCTCAAATCAAATGTTGAATTGATAATAAAGTGAAAATAAGAATTTTTGGCGTAATTTTATGCAATAAAGCTTTTTTTTATGTTTCACAAGCTTAAATAGTTTCTACAATTTATGTTCACCTATAAATTCAGCAAGTACAACAAAAATTAAATGTCAACATACCATTCCCTAATATAATTTGTGTTTTAGAAGAATTTGCCTCTAGACTAAGAAAAGTATTTCTAGCAGAACATTTGATTGTATGCTTCCAAGGGAAATCTCTCAAATTCGCCATGTGGATCGCTCCATCTGCGTAATTTTTTTTTCTTTAAAAGTTTGTAATCTTTACGTTCAGTTGAGAATAAAATTAATTGCAATTAATAATTATTATTCTAGTTAGTAGTTTAACTTACCTTCACCAAACTGCAACCAACTGGTTTCTTTCAACTCATTTTCATTCACACCGGCGAACCATCTATATGTGGGGCTCGGTACGATAGGGGTCTCAATAGGTTTGCATTCCCGCATAAAACTTGAAGTCTGAAATTGCACCGTTGTAGGGTTAGTGATATCCGGCCGGTGGAACAAAACTTTGACAGCTTTCGTTAAGTTCGTCTTTTGTGTCATCGAAGCACCGAATTCATTTCTGGCGATGCAGTGGTATGCACTATTTACGCCAACGATTTCAAAGTCACCAGATGAATTGGATGAATTTATTTGGATGCCGTCTTGATAGAGTTCATATCTACCAAATAATTAATTTTTAATTATAATAATAATAATTATTATTATTGTTGTTATTATTTTTTTATTAATACACTAATGGCGAACTACAACAAACAATAAAATCTACATGAACCTAGGTTTTGGCACTCCGTTTGCTGAGCAATTAAACCGGACCCTGCCAGTCTCTTCATGGAAATATCCTTGTTGCTTCCATTGATGAATTATAGAAGCTGGTAAGCGGATATCATCTAAAAAATTATTTTAACATCATAAATAAATTTATTATGCTGTAATTCTGTCTAATTAATTTATTCTGTATTAATAATATTGTAATATAATTTAATAATTAATTCACACAGTGGTCAAATTAAAAATTTGGGTTTTTTTTAAATGTACGACCTACATTTCGATTTATTTCAAATCTCTTAATTAAATTTTTCTATTAAAACCAGTACATTTTAGTATTCATGGACAAAATTGTCAAAAATCGTAACCGATAAATTTAACTAGAGCCCTAGGAAAAAAAAAATATTTTTCAAAAAAATCCAATCTACCCTCCATGACTACACCCTAAATAATATTTCATTTAATAACATTTGTTGATTTATTTAATCAATTTTTACACTTATTTCGTATAAATATTCAGTTAATCACTTTAAAATCAAATATACAAACGCTACGATGTAAAAAATTTGTAATTTTGTATTACTTTTGATGGGATTGGCGCACAAAAGAAGAGAGTAAAGACGTAAAATCCAACCCTGGTACATAATAAAACCAATTAACCAAATAATATTTCATCAATTTTAAAATTTAAATGATACAGTTTAACAATATATCTCTGTCGCCATGTACGTATGTTCATATAGGAATGAAAAAATTTCCGTAATAAATATCGCAAATATGTGTAATTTTAATGTCTTTATAATTTATATTAATATAAAATCAGAATTAATAAATAGTTTTCATTATTACGTATTATTATACGTACAAAAGTATATATTAATGAATGTATATGTGACGTTAGGTGAAACTGATTCTTACCTTTACATATTCATTAATCACATTTCATTCTCAAGAGGATCGAAGTTGAGAAATACTGCTGCTGCTACTACTACTACTGCTGCTGCTACTACTGCTGCTGCTGCTACTACTACTACTGCTGTTGCCACTGCCAGCTCTAGGTATTTTGCCGCCAGAGGCAAGATCCCAGTTTGCAGTCCTAACTAAAAAGCGCTAATATATTTAAAAAATACATTATAGTATAACTAAGAGTAACGCACAGAATCGAATATTTGCAGAACATTAAATCCAAACAGTACAAACACAAAAAGCAAGCCAAATACATACAAAATGGGCATATTTTAACTTGGCTTAGTGAAAGATGTTTACTTTCCTACTTTTTTCAGATGCAAAAGCTTTCAATAATTCAGTAAAATCCTCTCTTGCCTGTGCCTAGAACCGGTACAGGTTACTGCTGCTGCTACTACTACTGCCATTACTGCTAAAATAAGGTATAACACAAGTATTAGAGAAACTTAGATGTATTTGTGTAGGTGTGCGTGGAGAGAGAGAGAGAGGGAGTGAGAAAGAGAGAAAGAGAGAGAGAGAGAGTAAGGGAGTGAGAAGAGAGAAAGTATTCAAGACGACAATAAAGCACAAAATTAAGTAAATAAGTTAAATTTGGCGCGTCTTTTTATTAAATTTTGAAGTAAGCCCATTGCAAATTCAAGCTCCCACTTATGAATAAGATACTTTTGAAAACAATTCCAACTAAAAATTATAATGATTAGGTGAAGAGGAAATAGATGAATAAAAAATAATAACAATAATAATAATAATAAGAAGCAGAATAATAATAATAATAATAAACAATCTCCATTGAATCTCAAATATAAAACAGAAAACAGATAACCTTCTCCTCAATTCAAAACAGTCATTCACACAGTAAAATCGATCTTCCCCCTATTGTCATTCACACACACACACAGCGTTTTTTTTACAATCCCCAACTAATTTTTAATTTTTCCTTCTCCATTTATATCAAACCTATCCAGCCAGCCCCAACGCATATTTAACTCATTAAACTTATTAAATGACATTTATCTAAGGTTAAGCAACGTGTTTATATTATACATGCAGAGCTTGTATGAGCCATTTGACGCTTGGATCAGATAGCATGGGAGTGTACAGCCAGAGGTTCCCCTACCCAAATTTATGACTGACTTTTTTGGGATTTCTTCAATTTCAAAGACTCCTTAAATTTGGAGTCCTATCCCAAATAAACCTCCTGATTCGACCTATTCTAGGATCTGTATACTTCTGGGCAAACAATTATCATCCTCTTCTTTTCTAGTATTTTAGTCCTTATCAATTTATTAAAAAAAAATAAAACTTTTAACTAATATAGGGGTGAGCAAAATTTTGCTGTGAAGGCCGCATTGAGAATTATTTTACCTTTGAAGGGCCGCATATGCACTTAAATAGCATGCGGCCGTAGTTTGTCCAACCCTGAGCTAATAATTTAAACAATGGATGATATGATAATTTCAATCTAACTTTGTAATTTAGTTATAATATGTATGTATGTATGGTCTTGATATTAGATACTATACATCATGTATATATGGGTTTTATACATGCTTTTTATTGTGTGTGTGTGTGTTTGTGTGTGTGTCTGTGTGTTTGCGTTGCAGATGTGCTTGAAAAAACGCATTTCGTATTAGATATCATTATTTTATGTGCTTTAATGCCGTTCTCCTGTGTTTATTTATTTATGATCAATCTTAAGCAGATTCATTAGGCAATAAAATTTTTTTTATTTGAATTGTCGGGTGGTTTGAATAGTTGAAAGAATTCTCACTTTTTAATTCAAATTAAAAATCAATTTGAAAATTTTCGTGTGGGTAAGATTAAGATGGATGAAAATTTTTGTAGGTAATGGTATATCTACAATATTTTATTCTTTTATTCTGTTTTTTTCTCTTATTAGGCAATAATTTTATATCATTATTAATTATCTTTTTCGGAAATCACAAATTATTTTTTATTTATTTTTTTAAAATATGTTTGAAAAAAAAGAAATAATGTGAGAGAGATTGAAAGAGGAGATAAATATTCATGAGAATGAATGAAGCCCTAGGCAATGTCAGAATAGAATATTGTATATATGGGGAAAGAGAGAGAGGAACTGGTTTTGTCAAACATCCAGGGAGAGAGAAAGAGGGGGGAAAAAAAAAAGAGAGAGAGAGAGAGAAGAATGAATGAAAGAAAAAGAGAAAGACAGACAAAACTACTCATTCCTTCGGTTTTTACATCAATGAATTTAAACTCCGACATTAACATCAATAAGGAACATTTAAAAGAAACAGCAAATTCTAACGCTGGCTGGCTTTCATATGATTAAAAATTATTTCGAAAATGATGATGATTGGACAGCAGCGGGCATATTTCAGTCATTCGTCATTCAATTGGCAGAAATTGTATACTACCACTTGATGATTATGACGGTGACGACGACGACGATGATGATGAACACTTACGAGAAGATGATAACGACGATGACGATGATGATGAATAGCTACAAGAGGATGATATGAAAACGGTATTATCATGTGAATGAAACATTGCGACAGATTTTGATGATTGCAATGAAGAACACTGTTGGCACTGACAAGTCATTTGGCCACACACACTCAGCCAAATACACAATCTCACAGAGTCACACACACACACGCACACACACACATACATACATACATACACAGTTCTGCCTGCACATTCAAGTACTCTTCGTTCAATGTACATACACTCTGGACGCAAAACTGCCGAGAGAAGGTTAAGTAAGATATCTGCCAGCTTGCCTGTCTCAATGTTTGGCTGGCTCTCTGCTTGCTTGGCGGCTGGTTGGTATGTCAATTCACGAACGTGTGTGTGCGTGTATGTATGTGCGTGTGCGTCTGCGTGTGTGTTGATAATCTCATCTACGTTTGTGTATCTGTGCGTACTTATACGCGGGTACGTCTTTGTATATTGAGTAAATGTTCTATGTAGGTGAGTATGTGTGGAATTTTGAATGTGTTTTTGGCTGGGTATTGCTATGAGTGTGTATTGGTGTGTGTGTGTGCCTCAACATTACGCTGGTGAGAGTGTCAGAAGAGATTTTTTGCACGTGACCTCAAACTGCTGGATGAATGAAAGATGGACATTCTATTATGTATACCTACATATGTGTACTTGTGTAATTCTTTCTATGTATTGTACTTATTAGCTTATTGCTTGTTTAGCCGCTTGCTACTTGTTGGACGTAAAATGCTCTATTAGTGATTTTAAATTTTGAAATGCAGCAAATTTCACCAAATAATTCGTCTTATATTTTAGTCAACATTTTATTTATTATAATTTATTTAAATAGAAAAATTTTAAAAATCATTTATTACTATTCATTTTTGAAATTCAAAATTCAAGCCTAAGTTTGGAAGAACTTTTCTTTATTTGATATTCGCATGTGAGGTCTTTGCTCTTTTGTTCTCGTGGCAATGGTTTCTTTGTTGTTTTTATTGAATTTATTGGAATTTCGCTACAAACTAGGCTGATCAATTTTTCAATATTACACAAAACAGTTGTAAATATTTCACACACACACACACACACACATACACAAATAGGTACGCGCACACGCACACATACACCACACGTACATTAAAAATCACATTGGACGATTGTAAAACTTCACACAATGCAATGCATAGAGAAATTCACATTCACATGCATACACTTACGTAATAATTTAATTAATTAATCAACGTTTATCTCTATTAATTAATTAATTCATTAATTTATTCGTTTTGATTTTATACTAAATTATTTTATTGAATTCCTAGAAATTTACTTTTTATATTTATTTAATTATATATTAATCAGTATTTAAAATAAAAATTTGGAAGCAATTGGAAGTAGGCCGGCCAAATATTGCCAACCAGACAGCTTGCTAAGGCCTCAGCACAGTTTCCATTCGTTAGCGTGCGTGTGTGCGTGTGGGCTTAGTATGTGAGTTTCATTGAAGATATCAAATTTGTGTGTCGCAAATATACTATTTAAAAAAACTACTTTTATTAATTTTTAAATATCTTTCAGATATTTGTAAATAAAATTACTTTTAAATTATTAATTAGTTAAAAGCCTTTGTTGAATTTTAATTAGGCGATTTTTTTCCCAAGTATTAATCGATCAAAATTTTTCAAGTAATTAAAGTTTTTAGAAATATTTTTAACGTTTTAATCAGTAGAAGTATTTTAAAAGTGTCATTTCATAGAAATATTTTCAAAATTTTATCGAAATATTTCCAAATATTGATCATGAGATTTATTTTTAAATATGCTGGTCAAAGTTTGTAAATGACCCTCGATGAAGTGAACGCACACACACACACACACAATCTCGAAAATAAATTAAACTAATCGTAAAAGTTTGATTAACATCTCAGAAACATAAATTATGTTAATTTATGCTAATGACGGACATCCTTCGCCACGCGCTCTCGGCACAACTACCAAGGTCCTTCTGTTTGTCGCTAACTAATATCACATGCAAGCAAATCATCGGTACCTAGCATGAAAACAACACAGCAAACTTAAAAGGCCCATACAAGCAAATATCACACAAACATACAAACAAGTAGTATACAAACATACAAACAAATATCACACAAACATACAAACAAATATTATACAAATATACAAACAAACGCTACGCAAAAATTATTGCCAAACACACACACACGTAATGAAATACAGAACGTTGAATGTAGCAGCAGAACAACGTTCGTCGACAAAGACAAAGTAAAACATTTGAAAGGAGGAAGGCAGGACTAGTTAGGCAGGCAGGCACATGTGTTGTGCTAAATTACACCCCATGTTGTGTGTTGTGCCGCGTGTGCTCTCATACATTTGAGAATAACCAGCTTGCCTCTGTCTCTCTCACTCACTCTCTTTGTCTGCATGTGTCTACTTGTATGAAAATAAACCAGTCCGATTTTATTTGGACGGATCTCTGTGTTTGTTCTCTTGTTAGTTTGGCCTTTGATATCGAGATATTTTTAGGCTAACTATTCTGTTGAAGATTTGTGATTTAATAATTTTATGTGATGCATCTTGTTCTTAAATTAAGTTTAACGTTTTAATAACAAAGTTTAAATAAGTCAATTAATCTGCGCTCAATGTAACATCAGACTTTGGGTAAAAATTTATTTCAAACCATCAATAAAATAAAGTCCATAACGCGATCGAAGCGATAGACTATCGAGCAGGCAGGCAGAGGGACGAACAAGCAGGCAGACCAAAGAGAACCGAGTCACTAACAACAGCAACAACGTACATTCGTACATGTGAAGAAGAATGCAGGCGGCGCACATGTACATGAAAACAAGGTTGAAACAGTCATTGTTTGCTGTGTTGCGAACAGCTGCAGTCTGAGGTCGAACGAACAAACTGCATGCATATTCACTGCCTGCCTGCCTGCCTGCCTGCCTGCCTGCCTGCCTGCCTGCCTGCCTGCCTGCCTGCCTGCCTGCATGTTTTATCAAAATCTAACTGCGCAGTTCAATTAATTCGTGCGCCTAAACACTTGTAATTTATTCCATTGAATCTAGGTATCTTAATGAGCTAGGGTCAGAATCTTTGACCTTTCGAGAGCGATTAAAATCAAGTTATTCATAATCTGGTCTGCATTTTGTGAGGTATTTTTTCATGAGCGAACATTATATCATTAAACATTAACCGGGGTCTCTTGAAAACTATCAAGGCACACGGCCAACCGGAGAACGCCCAGCGAAACAGCAAGTGAACGCGCACGCTGTGTGCACGCGAACGAAAACAAGAGCAGGGAAGACGGATCAATATTCCATGAAAATTGCACAAGGTACTGAAACGTCATGGGTGGATAAGTGCGTTGTCAGGCAGGCAGGCGGACGGGCATAGCACAAAACTAGAAATGTAGAATTACTCATCACTGAAGATAGCTGCTGCAACACACCACCGACCCATACATGCATATACATACATTTCTCTATGCAAATACACTCACGCACCACATAGTAGATATCTGCTCTATATGTTCTTATATGCTGATGTACATGTGAGCTCAGCCTGCCTGCCTGTTTTCTGTACTACTACTACTCTTCTCTACATGCACAATCTCGTTCTTCTCAGCGTCTTGTTTGTTAAGAGTACACAGCTTTTACGGATCGAGAATGAATAAATGAAAAGTTAATTTCTTGCTCGCTACCTCGAGCTATAATTTTTGACTTTGGTAGGTACTTTCTGGCAGAGAAAAGAGAATTGTTGAAGAATTTGTCTCATTTACATGTACATTCGTTGTCAACGCAAACTCATTCCTAACTCTGAAACGATTAAGTACGAGGAAAATTACATAATTGATGGCTTGGTTAGAACTAACAGCTATATGGCTTATTACTTGCTAGCACTAATGACTGATGATAATAGTTCCACTTTTTTCTAAGGAAGCCTTTCAAAACATCACGCATACCCTTGCAAACTGCGCAGATCATTTCAACATTTCATTTCAATAGCAGTACTGGTATTCTTGCGCAAGCCTTGAGGGCCATTGAACGAACGTGCACACACATATGTAGACAAAGAAGAACTACGAAAAGCTGATAAGAGAACGGCCAACAACAACAACTCGAACACGAAATGCGTGTGTGCATGCCAGTGTAGTTCGAATTATAAATACTATAGCCCAGAGTATATGCATTATAGTCCGCATGTTCATAAAGAAGTGAGAAGCTCGTGTTTGATCGAAAACAAAGTACACGCAAGCACTCCATTATAATATAACATGTAGTACTTGGTTCTTTTAACTATGTTTGCCAGTGCCTGAACTCTGAAAATTCACTTTTTGCTATTGAAGATTTAATAATTTATGATAAAACCACTGAGGTCTTCTTTCAATTAATGTTCGCCTCTGTAAAATATTCAGCCTCTCATCAACTTTCATTCAAATAAAATACAAAGAACAAGAAGGATCGTAAACATCGGTTTGCTAGTATTAACGTATGTAATGCGGTGTCTATATAAACCTATACATAATATATGAGATCGTATAATAGAGAAGTATATATCTATCTATATATGTAGATACGAGTCTATGTATATTTAATGAAGCTGAATGAATGTATATAATATATATATATATATATATATATATATATATATATATATATTGGAACATTAGTGATCAGTACGTACCATAGTGAGGTTCTCGATAGATAGGCAGGCAACTCCGGCATTCTCTCTTCTTACTTTGCTCTCTCAATAACGCGTCCATACCATATTATTATTGTTATAAAGAACTGAAGGGGTACCCGACCGGTATGTCAGGAATTTTTTTATTCTATTTCGTCGTCATGTTATTTTGAATTATAAATCCGCTAATTTGATTTTAAAATTGTACACATTTTTTTGATGGTTACTTCGAAATTTGTTCCGTTAGATTTAGAAGGCAGGGTTGCTAGGTTTTCTGTTTTTTTCGTAAAATGGCGGAACGGAATCAGTTGTCGAATGTTTAAATAAAATAGTGATTTATAAGTGAAATTCGTATGATTGATTAATTAAGTAATAAGTTGTGTGTGAGGCATTTGTGTTTATTTATTTTTATTTGCATACAAATTTCTTATTAGGCTTTTCATACTCCTTACCAGGAAAAATCTGAAAAATGTCGGCCACTAATTTAGAGGAGGAAGAAAAGAAGGAAATGCCAGAAAATCATGATGCAGATTCAAGTTTGTGCTGTTTATTTTATTTATGTTGTATTTGATTGTTAAATTATTAAGAAATTTGTATTTTTGTAACAATATTTTATTAGTTTAATTTAAAAATTGGTTGTTTACTACATTATTATTAAATGATTAACTATTATATAATAGTTACAATATGTAAGTTAGATTTTTTTAAATATAGGCTTTGATTAACATTTAACAGTGTTAAATTTATAATTATGAAATACAAAATAGACTTGTAAAGTAAAGATATGTATCTTATGTAAATAATTTATCATTTATGTAGAATGACTGAATTTAACTTTCTGTTAATCTCAATTCTCAATTTTACTAAATTATTTTACTTTCACAGATTCATCAGATGCAACATCTAATAATGGGAATAAAAATAAACCTACAAAGAAAAAAACATTGAGCGAAATGTTGAAAAAGTTACATCCTGATCAGATCAATGGAATAGAATCAGCTGACATTCCAACATTCTTAAAAAAAGAATCTTCACCCGCTACTGAGTCTGATCATCTGTCAGTTACAGTAAATGAAACTAACACTCAAATTGATCATAAATCTATGAACACCGTGTCACCTTCACAATCTCCGACCACATGTACTCAAACAAAGGTCTCTAGCCCAAAGTTGAATGCAGATGTTTACAAGTGTGCTGTAGAAAACTGTACAAAGTCATTTAGTCACGTTAATGATTTTAAACAGCACATCAACAACCAACATGCTGATGTTATCAATTTGCCTTGCTGTTTCTGTTTCAACAGTTTTGTTCAAGATAATTATTTTGACCATTTATCGTGCCACATTAAAAACTTAATGAAGTGTTTATACTGCCAAGTTTCTCATGATACCAGGGAAGAACTGTTGAAACATCTAAGCGAGAAACATCCTAATCAGCCCAAAAAGATTAACGTCTGTATCAGAATACTTAATAATGTTAGAGGTAAAAAAAGTCACTCGGACACTAATTCAGAGTCAAAAGTAAATGTGAAATCTCAATCCAAGCTGCAGTCAGAATGTTGCAAAAAGTTAGATCTAGGAAGTTCTTCAAATGAAGCACCTAAATCAAGAAATCGCAAGGCATCAAAGCCAATAAAGACACTGAACCAAACAGAAAAGTCAGATGAAGTTGAAATTGAATATGTTAAAGAAACACTGCCAATAAAATGTTCATTGTGCTCATTCACTTGTAATACAGACATTCACATGAAACAGCATGTGCAAGATGGCCACGAACATCCATCTTCCTGCACTCTCTTTCGTTGTAAACAATGTAAAACAAACTTTGATGACAAAGATGCATTCGAAACTCACCTCTCTCACCACACGGGCAAACACACAATTCGTTATTACACCTGTCCTTACTGTACGACAATTTCAAACAACATGGAAACAATTGAAAACCACATCGCAGAGGCTCATGTTGATAAAGCTTTCAGGTTCGAAGTTTTGCAGGAGGTTATTGAACACTTACAAGATTTAGTCATCTGTCCGATTTGCAAGGGCACTTATCGTTGGCAATCAAATTTCATCAAACATTTAGAGTCAGTACATATCTTGAAAGATCTCGCTTCATTCTTCACCTCAACCTACCCAGACCAAAAACTGCCTTCACACTTGAAAGCCTTGAGATCTTACTTCAAAAATCTTCTGCCAGACGCTCCTGATTTTGATAACGAAACGTCAAGAAATTTATTCCTTACGCCCATTGGTGATAATGTTGATGATGACGAATCTAATGAAAATGCAGATGTATGTGTAAAGACTGAATCCAGTGATATGGCCGAGAAGAAAGAGAACAAGTCAGCAGAACATCCATTATTATATGGCATGTTGAGCAAGAAACCAAATGAACCAACCATCCATCCTGTTATCGTCATTCAACCAAGTTCCTGTCCTCCTTCTTCATCTTCTCCTCCTCCTACTCAATCATCCGAGTCACTTCAGTACTTGGAAAGGTATCCACCACCAGATTTGGCCCAGTTTGTCATCAAGAAAGGCACTCCGACTACTTTTAACTGCAACCTCTGTCCGTTTGAATGCACAAAAACAACCCATTTTCGTCGGCACATGGACATTCATAAGAGGAACGAGAGCCTCACAGATGGCTACAAGTGTGGCTATTGTCAGTTTGCTCACCCACGACTCAACTGCATTCGTTTTCACTTGGGCAAGTATCATGCTGATCTGCCCTACATGATGACGAGGATCGTCGACAATTCTTACATTAACATGGGTCCTGAAGATGATCCAACTCTGAAGAAGAGTAAAGCCAAAGTGCCATTTGTTACCTCTACTCCCGTCATCTCCCAGAGACCAGAGAGAGAGAGGCGGGCACCTATCAAAATGGAATCAGATTTTGATTGGAGGGCTGGAAGGAGTCCAGGTAAAAATGCAGCTTCGGGATCTATCATCAACTGCGACCACATGTCTATCAGCGAATTTGAACAAAACTTGCCATCTATAATGATATTTCCTGATGTCTACAAGTGTCCTAGATGCGATTTCACGAACAGGGTACGAGTCAATCTGTTGAATCATTTGAAGGTACATAAAGTTCAGGGATTCTGTAAAGAGAAATCAGTCAAACAAGAAAAATCAGACATCGAAAATGTTGAAGAAAGTAGTATCGATGATGAGAACGACGACGATGATGAAGATGCCGGTGTTAAGGATAAAAACGATGATGACGGTGAAGAGGATGGAGAACAGGATTCTGAATTGAATCCACTTTTTGATTATCTCTCTGACAAAAAAAATACTTCTGACCTGTTGGGGGATGCGGAAGAGGTCACATTTGTCACTAGGGCTAACTTAACCGACGAGTACAAACACTTCAGCGTTAAAATTCCTAATTCCAATCATTACCAGTGCAAGGAATGCAACTTCATCCACAGGTTGGTTGTTTTTAATTACATCCATAATCCAATAATCCAGAAGTGATAAATTTATTGTACTTGCAATACTTCAACATTTTAAATAGCACAATTTTTACGACAGAGGAATTTAAGGAGGAACAGATTTTTTAAATTACAGCCTGCATATACATACATTCCTAATTCTAACATATTTTCAGTATAAATTTTTATTCTTGCATTTATAAATGTTTATTATAAAAATTCAGGTACCCATCGAAAGTGAAGCGACATTATTACTACAAGCATGCCCCCGCCTTTCCATACAAGTGTGGCTACTGCACGTTCGGAGCTGTCGAAGGGGGTAAGGTGAAGAGGCACTGCAAGGTCGTGCATCCAAATAAACGGGAGATGGTTGTGAAAAGGAATGTCTACAAGAAGGGTAACGCTTGTAATGATGGTGCTAAAAGCAACAGCAATGGCAGCAGTAGATATTCAAATGCTAAAGTTTTAACACGTCCTGGCCAGGAAGAAGAGGATTGTGAGACGGAACAGGATTCGGTTAGAGTTAAGAAGCAGTACGTTTACAAATGCAATGAAGATAGTGAAGATCTTTGGTTGCCTCAATTTGTAACCTTGCTCGACGATGACATACAATGCTGTAAGCTATGCGGCTACCAGCAGGATGGTTCCTCCTCGTTGAGAGAGCATGTGCTTACAGCTCACTTAGAATTCTACCCCTACTCGTGTGCACACTGTGGCTTTGCCCTGATGGACCTCTCCAGAGTTAGAAAGCACATCGACACGCATCACCCAGGAATGAACTACTCGGCTTTTCATAGGTGCATAGTTGATAATGAAAATAATGATAACAATCACGCGGTTAGAAACAATGGAGAGAATGAATTTAGTGATGAAAATGACAGTCAGAATAGTCAGATGGTGATTGATGAGTCATCGCAAATGGAGGAACACGAATCCATCGAATTCAATGATGATGACATTGATGAAGTAACTGCTGACAAAGATAGTTCAACAGAAGATGGCGAAACTGAAATGACGGCACCTGCGCCTACCTTAAAAATTAACAAACCTGCTGTTTTTGACTCATTCAGTGGCAAGAGACAGTTCAAGTGTTACTACTGCGGAGTCATCTCGAAGTGGAATCGAAGGGACATTCGACTGCATGTCTTGCACGTCCACCTACGCAAGAAAGTATACACATGCCGTCATTGTGGGTTTGGCAATAGTAAAAGTAAAGCCATCGTGAAAACGCATTGCATGAAATTTCATCCTAATAAAAATGTCTCAGTGAAAGATGAGCTAGCTTTGTTCAATGCAATTGTTCCAATTGAGGATGCAAATGGAATTGTTACAATGGTTCTCTGTGACAAAAATGGTCAGCCCGTTCTCGAGCTGGCAGAAGATGGGTCTGCTGCCACCAAAAGTGACTCAAAATCTCCTATAAAAATTCCTTCATTAACACCTCAGAAAGCAATAAACGTTGATGCCATAAAGTCTTCATCTCCCTTGAAAATACACGGAGGAAGCTCCAAGATGCACGAATGTCATTGGAAGTGTAAGCAATGTTCCTACGCCAGCAGTACTGAAATTGATGTCAAGTATCACCTGCTGTCCTCGCATTTGAACGTCAGGCCATACAGTTGTCCTCACTGCCATGTTTATCTGAGTCGGGCAGAACTCGTTCTCAGTCACATTGAAAAGTACCATCCCGATAAGAAGAAGGAAGTGAACGACACTCTGGAGGAGAAGGCCCAGTACTTGCAGAAGAACATCGAATTCATCGGGTACAAGAGGGCTCAATCTTTCAATAATTTGAATGAGGATGAAGATGAAATCGATGAAAACTTTGCAAAAATTATGGAAAGACAAAAGAATCCCCGATACAGTTCTGGTTATTTTCGCTGTCTTTTATGTGGTTACAGAGATCCAAGAAATGATAAAACTAAGTACCACATCATAAAAACTCATCTGAACTTACGCCAGTTTAGTTGCCCACACTGCAACCAATACATGTGGGGCCGACAGCAAGTTGTAGCTCACATAGAAGAAGAGCATCCGGGAAAAGAAATTTTTGTGAAGAGAACATTCCACGAGTACGATCACTTCCTTCGAAAAAATATTAAAAAATTCTCATTTCCAAAATCTGGCAGTCAGGACGAGAACCAGAGAGATAATCTGAAGACCAAATCGATACCCAGAATTCAGTGTAACAGTTGTTCATTTGTTACTGATAGCGAACTTTCATTGGCCGCCCACAAGCGGACGCACAAAATATTCCAGTGTTTCTACTGCGATTACAAGCACATGCTGGCCGCCAGGGTTCTAAGTCATTGCTCAGAGAAACATCCATCTAGCCTCGTTCGCTTCAAACACGTTGATTCGTCAAACTTTGAATCGACGAAAGTAGTGGCCGAAGATGGCACTGAAAACCCCTCAAAAGATGATGACGATTCCGTTGATAATAACGAAGGTGATACTGCCACGAGCCTGCTGCACGATGATGATGAGTTGGAGGGGAGCGCCACTGCTGCTGACAACGATGACGGAGAAGATGACGATGGTGGTGACGTAAGTGAAACGTCATACGGAGCAAGCACGTTCGTTTGTCAGATATGCCAATCTGTGAGGTGGTCAAAGAGTGATATACTCGTCCATTCGAATGAGATGCATCCAGACAGAGTTCCCAGCTTTGTTGCTGTCAAGTCTGAATGTAATGAGAAGTTGCAAAGTTTGAAGAATCGTAATAGCATTCAGAGTTTAAATGAAAATGATCGCACTAATAGTGATGAGGACAGTGAGGCGGATCACAATGATAACGTCAACAATCATGACGACAGTCAAGTGGACGACGACGACGACGATTTTGAAGAAAAAAGGTTGATGATTGATGAGGTGTCCAATATAAAAATGAACAACGTGGCCAACACGAAGTTCAGCAACATATCTGCATCGCAGCTGTTGAAATCGAATGACAGCCTCTATCAGTGTCGTCTATGTACGTACAAGTCCAACAAAATGACCGTCATGCGTCACCACATCATGTCCCACCTACGCTACCATCCTTACGTCTGTCCTTACTGCGACCAGGCGAAATCTGTCAAAAGTTTTCCAATAAAGAAGCACGTTGCCGCTAAGCATCCAGGGAAGGATATCATAGCCATGCACTGTACTGACCCCGAGCAAGAGAGGAAGATAGTTAGGAGTTATTACAAGTTTAAAGTTTCTAATGCCTCGGACAAGATTGATGGTCAGTCTTCGTTTAAAGCTAGCAAAGGTACCTCTCATGAATACACTGGCGGCTATAATGATTCCATTGATGATGGATGTGATGATGAGGAGGACGATGAGGATTTCAATGGCAGCATTGATAATGACGCCAATCAATCTAGTAACCTCATTGAAAATAGAACTGAACCAGATATGAATGATACATTTTCTAAAATGGAAGATTGTGAAATGAGCTTCAAATGTAAGTTCTGTTCTTTCAACACGTCGGTGAAATCAGAGATGAAACACCATTTGATGAAGGAACTGAATTACAAGCCTTACAAATGCAATCTCTGTCCATTCAGGGATGCTCAGAAGCCAGTGATCAGTAAACATTACCAGAAGCAACATCTAACTAGTTCTCCATCGAAAAATAATGTCGTCGAATTGAAGATCAAGGAAGAGGTCAATTCAGAGAAAGAGGAGCTGATTAAGAAGCTGTTGGAAGAATGTCGCATCAGTCAGTCAGTCAGCAACAACAACAACTCAACAAATCACTCCAGCACCACCAATCAACAAAGCTGTAGCCAGTCACAGCAAAAAGCTCAGCTACCACAACAACAAAAGTTTAATTTAAAACAACCAATTGTTATTCAAAATAACTCCAAACACAATTCAATCCCTCTCCGATCCGGATCCAAAATCTACAAATGTCCGGAATGCTCCTACACTAACATCAGCCTAAAATTAGTGAGAGGTCACATGGTCAAGCACGGACCCCACCGTCTCAAATGTGCCTACTGCGACTACAAGGCCCACTATCCGAGTCGAATTAGGAAGCACACAAGACGACAGCACAGCGATCGAGTATTCAATTACACTAACATCATCGACGACGCTAATAATAATGGTGGAAGTGGCGGTACCTCGAGATTGAATTTGCTGGTCAGTCGATCTAATGACAAGATTGATGGCAATGATGAGGGTGAGGATGACGAGGAAGGCGATGATGGGCATGCAAACTCCGCTGCTTCTACTTCTAGTGAGATTTTTATATTTTTTTTTATGAAAAATTTTTGATTTTTTTTTTTGAAAATTATTATTTTGTTTAAAAGTTGTCATGTGTGCCTTCAATTAAAATATTGTTTTAAATTTAACTACAATTGCAAAAACAATTGATGTGATTGCATTAATATACCATCTGATTAAATGAATATTCATAGTTTTCAATCAGTCAGTCAATCAATTTGTCAACCGTTCAATATTTCAACTCTCCAATTCTTCAATCATTCAATCTATCAATCCTTCAGAAGTGTTCTTGGATGGAGTTCCCATCGACTTTCCACTGATATCTAACAGTGACGGTTGGTACAGGTGTCAGTTCTGTGACTACTCATCAATGAATAGGGATAACTTCAAAGTGCACCTGGTCACTCACAAGCCCAGGAGGTGGAAGTGTTACTATTGCGAGCAGAAGTACCCCGTCATGTTAGTTCAAATTTGTTTTCTTCTTTCAGTGTCATAATCTCTCCAGTTTTTTTTTTGGAATTACATTCGTTTGCTGTTTGTTTTTCAAGTGATATTAGAAATTTAATTTGATTCTGTGAGTTTTTCAGCAGTAAGCGATCGTTTTCTAGCAAAACATTTTGATAAATTTGTAATGTTTAAAGATATTTAATATTTAAAGTCTCCATGGAGTGTAGATAGATTAGTGTTTGTTTGAACTTTGCTTAAAATTTCTTATACAATGCTTGTGTATGTGGTTTTGGTTTGATCATATTAAATTATGATATTGACAATACATTCGACAAAAAACTGGCACAACAGATTCAGGGTGAGAAGACATTGCATACAGAAACACCCGAGACTGCAGATCAAGTGGGTAGATGTCGAAACAGGCAAAGTTGGTTCTGACACAAAACCACCGTCGTACAGTTTGCCATTTATAGGCCTCAAAAAACCCAAGCAGTGCACAGCTAGGAAATCTTTTGGTTGCAGGCAGGTGAACAATCAGTTGAAGCGAAAACATTCGGTGTCGGTAGATGAAGCCAGACTGGAAGATCTAATTTATGACTCGGAAGTCTCTACTTACAACTGCCATCTCTGTCACTTCTCGCACAGCACTCCAGACTTACTCATCAAGCACTTGAAGGTGGAACACGTGTGGACTGATAAGTTACCTCAAATCGAAATTTTTCCAAAGAATGACGATGGAGAAATTTGGGCGCTGAGAAGATGCGGCTTCTGTTTGTTCGAGTCGTACGATCCAAAAGCATTCAAACAACACGTCTTCAATCATACGATCTGGCCGCCGACTCAATGTCTGTTCTGCTCCTTTGCATCTTTCAGCCAGACCTTAACTGTGGAACACGTCAAATCAGAACATAGTGTCGAGTATAAGTTATTAGAGAGGGAGCAGAAGTGTCTGATGTTGAATGATGGGAACGTCATTGACAATGCAGATGCCGAATTGAGTGTCACCAATTCAGATGATTGTGATAAAGTTTCAACTAATACAGCTGATGATGTAGAGGGTTCTGTTAAAAAGGGCTCATGTAAATTGGGGCCGATTGAAGTTAACAGGAAGTTTCTATGTAAGGAGTTGTCCGATGAGTACACCATGGTCACTGACGATAGTAAACAGTTTAAAAACCTGGATTGGGTTGGCGATTTCGAACCATGGGTTACGTTAGTCAAGTTGTACATGAATCAGTTTGATGAGAAGGATATTGAGGTTGGTGGTGATGAGGAGGAGGAAGATGAAGATGGCGACGATAATGAAGAAGATGATGAATTCGACTGTTCATAACTAATTTATTTAATGTCTATATGATGAAATATTTTGTTTATTATTCCATGCGTATGTACAATCCAATCGCTTATAATTATTTCTGGTTTTTAATTTAGTTTTTTTTTGGAATGAACACTTTTATCTGAAGTAATTCCGAAAACTGAATTTTATGTTCGTGTCTATATATTTATGCATAGGTTTTTGTTTTCTTGTACTGATACCTTCTATTTGATTCAACTACGATTTGTTCGTGTGAGTAAAAGATTTGAAAACTGAATGGTCTATAGTTCAATTTGAAATATGTAAATTATTATGAAATTCAGATTTTTCTAGTTCAATTTTACGTGAAAAAACAACAAAAGACATTTGTTTACCTTTGGAATCTATAAGTACAAAATATTTCATTGATAACCCTGAAGTAAAAATACTGAACGCAAAATGTTAATATGTATAATCTGCTCGCAGGGGACCAGGCACTAGACGGCGTTCTATATATCGTCGTCCTTCTCACCTTTCTTTTAGATTTTGATAATTTGTCTTCCAACAGAGTGAAGTTCGCGGACATATCTGTGGTCATCGTGAAATGGCGAACTTCATCTTGCTCATCTTCGTATGCATTTGCTGCAGCTCGGTTCGTAAGTTGGTTGGCTTCCGTAGTTAAGTCACTAGAGTTGGTGTGGTTAACCTTCACAGAATCTTCATCCGATAATATTTTGAATTGTAAACTGGTTTTAAAAACTGCGGATGAGCATAGTTCGTTTTCAGTGACAAATTTTTCAAGGCTCCAGTGAAATATTTTGCCTGCAGGGTTGCGTCTCAAATATCCTAACTTCATGCTGAATATATGAATATAAAATACATGATCGCCCGACTCAGTAGGTGGATAATATTTTGAATATTGATAATAATCGCTCCTATTAAAACTGGCGACCCAGCGCCTTATGAACTCTGTTCCATTATTTTCCGTTACAACCATCAGACAAAGATTTTGTTGACATATTGTTTCGCCAGGTTTCCTCATAATTTTCAAACCATTGACATTAGGCAGGCTACCAGCATCACAAAAAACTACCGTTTCGCCAATCAGTATTTCAAAATTTTCATCAGAAATACAGGTTGGTCGATTAGTAAATGTCGAGTCAGAAGGACAGGTAAAATTTCCAGATGATGTTCTTGCGAATTGGTGGACGACATCCAAATGATGAACGCATTTCAAGGTTGCGTTGTACATTCTGAGCGAAGTCAGAAAAGTGGGTAAGTCCATGAGAGATTCATCTGATAATGAATAAGGTGGAATTATATCGTCAACATTATTCAGAGTCCACACTAACACGTGCAAGCGGTAAATCCGATTTAAATTAATTGGAGCAACCCGACGATAAGGTATTATGACTTTTAATGCCGTGTTGTTTTTGTAGACGACTATCCACAGTTTGACAACGTGACCCCTCGCCAAGTCCACGCCGAACTTGTCAGCATTCACTACTGCTAGCAGATAGAGGAAATCTTCTCTTAAAACGGTTACTGCGAGCATGCGTGAGTCGTAGACGTCGTTAGTGATTTCCAGCCCACAGATTGTGGCTCCGCCTCCGATCTGAATACGGACGTCACCAGTAACGCAGCAACTGGCTATGGTTATGTTGGGCAATAAAGTCTCTATGGGTGTAGGCGGTTGTAATGCATTGCTTGCCAGGGCGAGGTAAGACAATGATACAATCAGTGTAGTTCTAATGCGTGCCAGTGCGGTCATACTTATTTCAAAGAATATTGACTAGCACGTTGAAATTAAAAATGAGTATTAATTATTTATAAAATGTGAAATTACGAAGTTCGGCTCAAAAAAATTTCTAAAAAAAAAGATTATTAGCGTGATTAACGATAGATTGTAGTTAGTGAAAAAAATACTGTTGCTGGTTCGAAAATCAATCTAGTTTTGTATTTCATTATTTATTTAGAAAAAATTTTTTGGTCACGTTTTAATTAATAAAATAACATTCATTACAAAACCATTAAGATATTAAATAAATAAACACAAACAAACAAAAAATAAACAAACAATATAATAATCTTGCAATAGCAAAGTTGTTTTAATATTTTTCCCGATCATTCCCAGATCATTTTCATTTCACAATGAAAATAACGCTAATCTACCGAAATCAATCTCTTCTTTCTCCATCAATCGACACCTTTATGTAATAAATCAAATGAATTCCTACTCATTCATTTATAACCTATATTTACTTACAAACATATCAGATGAAAATGTTTGCTGAGGTAAAGAATGTAGGTATGTTCGTTCGTGTTTCTACTCTAAACAAGACGAATAGGACAAAACTGGCATAAAGTTTTTTTTGTATTTTTAGACAAAAGTTTATTAAAAAAGGCCAAAAAACATACTAAAATTTCATAACTTAATTAGACACTTAATAACCAAAAGGACATTAAATGATTTCAAACGAAATATAACTGAGTAGAATTATCGAATGTACGACGTTCAAGCACATTGTCATTCATAATAACTAATCAATATAAGCACTCACTGCCATAAAACAATCAGTTAATTAATCAGTATCAATTAATTAATCGGCCGATCCTTTAATTGAATAACAGACAAATCAATCATTCAATCAACCGCTATAAAACAAGCAATCAATTAATGAATGTAAATCGATCAATCATTTACTCGAAATCAATCATATAACATCAAACAATCAATCCTAACGTAAAATGAACAGCATAAGTGGATGGATGCACAGATAGAGATATGTTACGTGAATAAAGGCATTTATGATGCATACATATCACACACACGCACACACACACGCACGCACACATTCAAAAATTGTAGCAGGCGTGCGCTTCATAAATTACATTGTATTAATAAACTTACATTAATATTTCTACCTAAATTCCTAGAGGTTAAGCATTGCTTGGGATGGGCTGGGATCTCCATACATTTGAATTCAGTCACTGAAACAGCAAAGACAAGCCTCCTCTCCACTACACCATCTAGCAACAACCCAGATAACAATAATAATAACTAGATAACAATAATAATATGTACTGTACATATATACAAATACATGAATATGCATATAGGCACGGCATTTTAAAAACACAAGATTGAAAAAGTAACAATAACGATAGTAATAACGAAAATAAAATAATAATATTAATTAGAGATGTACCGAATGGTGAATGGCAAAAAGCCGGATAGTTAGCTGATCCACTGTTACCAAAAAACCCAAAATATTGAGCAAAAATTTCTTTATTTTAGAATCGAAAAAAACTTGAAAAAATTATTCCGTTCTACCAAACTCTTTATCAAGATGACACTCAATTTCTTGTCATAAATTCAGACGTTTTAAGAGCTATGACGGCCAGGAATAAATTTCCCGCTAATATACCCGACGGACGTAGTTCTGAAATCGAAAAAAATTGATGACTCAAACGGAAACCGCACTATTCGGATAATCGGCCTTTAACAGTTGCAGAAGTCGAATGTCAGATTTCAGTCAATTTAACCGAACTTTCGGTGCGTCTCTAATAACAATATATACGATATTAAATGTAAGAGGAATGAGGTTCAGTAAAAACCATAAAAAAAACACACACACACAAAAACAAACACATACAAATATTAACACATGCATACATAAAAATTAAATAATATTTCAATCTATAATCATATCAATATATCTTAAGCTAAATTCATTGTAAAAACGAACATATAAAACAAACAAATTTTTCTCATTTTGATTAAATAGAATATTTTTGTAATAACTATTAATTTATAGAAAAAAAAATAGAATTTGGTTGATTTTATAAGAACACAAATGCATTGCTTTCCATTAAAATATCATTATGTATATAGGAAGAGGAAGCGTGAGAGAAAGAGAGAGATAGAGAGAGAAAAAAAAGAGAGAAAAAAAAGAGAGAAAAAAAAGAGAGACCAGACGAAAAATAATGCACATTTTATTAAATAACATATTAGTTAGATATCCTAAATGTCAGATTTTGATATAATAACAGATATAATACACATAACCGTATATATATATATATATATAATCGGCTGGTCGAGGTTAGTTTGGTAAAATTAGGAAGAATATATGATTATATATATTCTTCCTAATATATATAATCATATATATATATATATATAATCACATATATATATATGTATATATATATATATATTATACATACATATATATATATAATACCATCATTGTCAGCATTATAAATAGTACTAAAATCGGCAATAGCAATATTTCTTATTTCTATACTAACATTGAAAAATTACTAATCATATTGGAAGAAGCAGCAGTAGTAGTTGCAGTAGTAAAGACAATGGTAGTAGTAAACGTTAGTAGTAGTAGGAGTAGTAGCGGCAACAGCAGTAGCAGCATTGATTGTAGTAGTAGCAGCGGCAGTAGCAGTAGTAACAGTAAATTCGTAAGATGTACAGTAAAACAAAAAACGCTGCCAATCATTAATTATTATCATGGTTTATTATTATTGTTATTATTATTATTGTTATTATTATTATTGTTATTATTAGCTGATGAAGTTCTAGGAACAACATTAGTAGGTGCATGCAATAGATCCAACATTGTTAACTGTCGTTTTATGTTATTATGATTTGCCTTACTATTATTATTATTTCTTTTATTATTATTATTATAGTTATTATTATTCTTATTATTTGTGCCAGTACACGCATTACTACCGATAAAACTATTGCCGTTGTTGACGATTAAAACATTTTTAACGTCACAATTGTCATCATCACTTATTGAAATGACGCTGATATTGTTGTTATTATTATTATTATTGTTGTTGTTATAATTATTATCATCGTCATTATCTTCCCCGTCATCATCAGCATCTTCATCATCTTCATCATTATTAGTAGCTGATAAAGCACCATAAGATTTTAAATTTAAATTAGTTTGATTGTTAGATGAAGCAGAAGTGTTAACATTGAGATTAGATTGATGTTTTTTAGGCAAGGTTGAAGATGCTGCTGTAAAATTAGCTTGATGTTTAGACATTGTAGAAGCTGCCAAATTGAACTTAGTTTTATGTTCAGGCAGCGTAGAACCCGCCGAATCGAAATTAATTTGATGTCTGGGCATAAGAGAAGTCGCAATATTGAAATTAGTTTGATGTTTAGGCAACGATGAAGCCAGTGTAGTGTAATTGGTTAAATGTTCAGCATTCACTTCATCAGATTCATTATAGGAATTTTCTTTCAAAAGATCCAAAAAATTTTCATAGTTATCTTCATCCAATTTAATTTTTTTATCCTGAAATTTTTTTGGCGCAGATGATTTCCGCTTGTTGCTCTGACGTATACTTGATTCATTGTTCTTTGGAGTGATTGTTTCATTAGTTGATTCTATGCTTTCATCATATCTTTCATTGCTGACGTTGTCACTGTCATGAGTAATAATACTCTCGTTGCTGGTGCTATGGTTGTTGATGTTACAGTAGCGGTTGTCGTTATCAGTAAATATTTCATTTGATAAAACCGTCAAACCATCTACTTCTTCTTGTTTCTTCTGCTCAGAGTTTATTTTTAAGTTTTGCAAACTTGGAAATATAGCAGCAGCAGAAGAAGTAGTAGTAGCAGCAGTAGTAGCAGCAGTAGCAGTAGTAGTGATAGCATCACAATTACTAATGCTTTTAACATCGTCGTTAGCTTTCAAAATATAACCAATAATGCCTAAACAATTAGCATCCTGTTCTGAAATCATACTACCCTTGTCAGTGTTACTATCACTATTCTTATTAGTATTATTATCATTATTATTGAAGTTATTATTATTATTATCATTATTATTATTATCATTATTATTTGTATTGGTAGTAGTAACATTATTCTCGCCATTTTTTTTAAAGTTTAATTTTCCTTGAACCATCTTAACAGGAGATATAAATTTAGCTGGTGGTGGTCTGCCATTATTATTATTATTATTGTTATTATTATTATTACTACTACTACTACTGATATTATTATTATTGTTATTACTACTACTACTACTACTCCTCCTATTCAATTCGTTTCTAATTATTTCGTTACTATAATTATTGATATTTATTGCTTTATTATTATTAATATCATCTTTCATATTTCTATTATTATTACTCATTATTTTATTATTACTATTATTATTATTATTATTAATGAGTCTTAGGGACTGCCTCCGATTTTCTTTGGCAGAATTATATTTATTATTATTATTTTTATTATTATTTTTATTATTATTCTTAACGCTAGTCACTCTTGGTGATAGTGTCAAGAATGATGATGATGACAATTTCGGTGGTGATGATGATGATGACGACGGTAATGGTCCGGAAGTTGATGATGACTGTGGTGTTGGTGATGATGATAACCGTTTTAAACTTATCTCACATTTTGGATACAATATTGATGATGATGATTGTAATGATATTGTTGCTGATGATGATGGTGATGATGATAATAATGTTGTTGATAATGACGTGAGAGTAGTTGCCGTTGTTGGATTTGTAGCAGCAGCAGCAGCAGTAGCAGTAGTTGTATCAACATCATTTGTAATGATACTATCATCAATATCAGTAGTATTCAAAGTAGCATTGAGGCTCTTTGTCATAGACATGTTCTTTTTATTTCTCTTCATTAAAGCTTTACACCTCTGTAACAAAGGGGCAAAGTAGAGTTCATCATCTTGACTTATACTAAGGTTCAGGGATGTTGACGAAGAGGATGCAACGGCTGCTTTGCTGCTGCTGTTCATGTTACCATTGTTGATGTTATCGCGCCTGTTGCTGTTGTTTTTGTAGTTGTTTGGTGTGCTGCTGGTAGAGCCTGCAGGTGGTTTTTGGTGAATTAACAATGAATGAACAGGCAAACAAATGAATACGCAAACACGTGAACCTATAAGTGAACACATAACTAAACAATGAATGAACAGGCAAACAAATGAATACACAAACAAAACACGCGAGCATATAAGTGAACACATAACTAATGAACGGCAAGAAGGAAACCCCACCACATGTTTACAAGTTGCAATAATTTTAGCAGTTTTAATAAAGCAAACGTATCAAGTTGAAAAATATTTTCATTAAAATAAAATTTAATAAAAAGAAATTGAAATAAAAAAACATTTTTCAGTGGAATAATTTTAGAAAATTCACTAGCAAAGAACTAAGAAAATTTTTTGAACAAAAAATTTCCAACATACCAAACAGCCTGCATGATAATTTATCTTTGCCTAACTTTTTCCAGCCATTCTCTTGAAATAAATAAAGAAATAAATAAATTAATTAATTAAATTAATCAACAGTTAAATAAATAAGAGACTAAATTAATTAATTAATTAATTTATTTATTTATTGTTTGAATTAATTAAACAAATAACAAAATGCAAACTAGAACTATATGGTGTCGATGATGATGAGGATGCTAGCAGAGATGATGATAATGATGATAGGTCTCCAGCACTGTCATTACCACCATCCTCATCTTCATCATCGTTATAGACATCGTCTTCCTTTCTATCTCCATCCTTGCCACTGCTTGGGTTGCTCTGCTTTAAAAATGAGTCACTAATCTTTATATTCATTTTCATCACCACCATCATCACCATTATCATCATCCTTATAATCCCCCACCTTATGAAAGCCTTCATCACACTTATCATCATCTGCAGCAGCAGCAGCGTCATCGTCTTCCTCTTCAGAACTGCTACTGAAGAGGTACTTCCTCTCTCCGATGATCTTCTTCCACTTTGCCATGAACTTCTTGAAATCCTCTTCATTATATTCGTCGTCGTTGGCGCCATTTTTTCTCCTATCTGTCGAGCCAACGTCATCGTCGTCGTCGTCATCCATTAGTCTCCTCCTTCGACTGTACCTTCTTTCACTGGCCGGTTTTTGTGGTTTGTTGTGATACTGCAATATCCCATATCTCTATCGTAGGATGATAATAAAATATTAAAAAATAATTAATAAAGTATTGAAAATAATAAATTATTAAAAATAATGAAATCTTAAAAATAATGAATAATTAAAAATAATAAAGTATTTAAAATAATAAACAAAATATTTGAAAAAAAACCCAAACAAAACAGACCTTGAACAATCGAAGCCAGTATGGCCAGTCATCTTTCTTAGGTGGAATCCTTGCCAGGTACAACATCTCATCCTCTCTGCGATGCTTTTTCCTGCAGCTTTTCATTTTTTTAAACAATTTTAATAAATTTTATTTATTATTTATCTATAATATATTTAATATTAATATAGTAATAAACAAATTTGTAGAAAATAAAATTTGGAAATTTTCGAACTTGAGTAACTTGATAACTGATTGATTGAACTTATTGCATAAAAAATTATTTGAATAAACACAAATGCCTAAATATAAATAGCTACATCAATCAATCAATCAATCATCATAAATAGCTACATAGCTAAAATTTAATAAGTTATGAACAGAAATTAGTTAGACCGACTTGTCGACCCAAACGGTGTTAACTAAGGGAAGGTTACGTCTCATGGCGGCCTTCACCGTTCTTCGACTGCCATCTTTAAAAACTACATGGGTGACATCTGGTGTCATTCGTTTCGATACATTTGCACCCAATTCAATCAGTTCTGTAGCAAATGTCGAACTGTAGTTGTGCTTCAATGCGTGAACATCAACATAAGCAGTAACACCTATTAGGAAAAATTAAAATTGATTAATTTTATAATGAATTAGAATCAACCAATGAATATTATTTATCATTACAAAAAATTCAATAAAATTAAAAACAAATCAATGTAGGCAAAACCTCTAAATATCAAACAATAAAAAAATCAACTTGGAACTAAATTCTAAAAAAATTACGAAAACTGGACTGTGGACCGTTATTTTTCTTACACATACATGTACTTTAATAACTTGTAAGTAATAATAAGTAACAGCTCAAATGGAATTGTTGTTCAGTCCAACTTCAATTCAAATTCAACTCAAACAATATCTGATATGATATATTTATATAGATATAAATAAATAATTATAACATAATTATAATATAATCCGAATATCAAATCAGTCAAATAAGCCATGGTATTTAGATTTACAAACAAATTTAAACAAACATGACAAAACCTTTCAAAATTTCTGAAGTTGGAATGGCCGACGCCGGTGAACTTTCATCACTAACCACTTGGTCCGGAATTAAATTAGAAGTTTTTGGAGTTTTGGCGGACTCCGAGGTTACATTTTCACAGTTATCCATCGTTTTTTAGGAAAAGTTTTTAAAACAAAAATTTTATAAAAACTTTTTAATTTCTGATTTTAATATTTAAAATATATAAACTATAACAAAATAAAATGCCATCAAATCCTATGTTTAAGTAAGAAATTCCTGCCGTAAATACATGTAAAATAAAAGTGAACCTCGGCTTAAAGCTCAATAAATAGATTAATGTTTATATTTGATAAATTATGGAAATTATGGAAAGCCCTTTTTATTTCTATATTTATTCAAAAAAATGGATAGTATTAGAAAATTATATTATAAAATATCTAATAATATGCATCCAATCATATGCTTTCACTTTTGATAATTACTTTATCATAATTTTTACTTTTCTCGTATCAGACAAAATCAACACACTAGCAAGATTTTCCTTGAAGTTTATAAAATATGCCAGATGAAAACTCACTAACTGTTAATTTATATGAATGATATATAAAACATACAGTAAAATACAATTTTGTGTAAAAAAAACCATGGGAATGATAGAAGCAAAAATTAAAACCCGCTGTGGTTAGTAACAATATAAAACATTATGAATATGTTAATGTATATCTGATACATACATACATACATATATATATATATATATATATATATACATATATAAATATATATGTGTGTGTATGTGTGCTCTTACAGATTGTTAGCTCTAATTCATCATTTCAACTTTTTTTCCAGTTTTTTGTAAAGTTTCAAGGACTTCTTTAGATGATTTATCAGTGGTGACAAACAATTTCTGCTCTTTCAGATCAGCAACAACATCATCCACTGGAAAAACAAATTGATTAATTTTTAAAATTAGCTTCCAGGCAAATTATTAAGTATGAAATAAACAAAATATGTAATAACAAACCTCCAATTCTTCCAAGAACTCGTTTGGCAGCATTCGAACAACCTTCACACGTCATTTCCATTTTGAATACGTATTTCTAATAAAAAATTGAATAATATAAATTATAAAATAAATTAATTGTTAACAGTTGTTAGCACTTAACTTAGCATACAACTTTAATTAACAATTTAACTTTTTACAGGTAAAGTTAATTAAATTTATTAGATGGTTGGTTAAAAAATAACAAAACAAAAAGAACAAAAAATAAATACATTGTTTGACATTTTGGTAGACTTAATGTCTTAATTTAAAATAAAATGTTTGAAAATATATATAAATTAAATTATTTGATGAAAAAACCAGTCGTATGTTCACCGAAACAAAACGTTAGTGAAATAAACTTTTTTTAAAATAATTATTAAAGCGCTTATTTTTCACTAAAGTCGTTGATGTGTTTCTTTTCAACGTTCTACATCTCTTCTCAGCCGAACTTAGTTAAGTTATAGGTAGTAAGTTAGGGACTGAGATGAGTTAGTTAATCGTAGCTAGGCTAGGTCTTAACATTAATTAAAAAGTTTAAAACATACAAATTAAAATAAAAAAGGCAATTATACAAAAAATACCATGGATGTATCCATGAAAAATACCTAATCAAAACTTTGCAACATGTAAAATACCCAAAACATGTGAAATTCCTAAAACGTACAAAATACAAATTTGTAGGTAGGTGAGATGTGAGATGAATTAATGATTGTAGGTAAGCCAGGGATCTTAGGGTGACAAATTTTTTCCCCTTCTATATTTCTCCTTGGTTTACTTTTCTCATGAGAAAAGCTTTGTATATTTGTGTGAAGTTGACGACGACGACGACGATGATGATGGTACATTTTTTGTGAAACACTCGGAAGTTAACTCTTTAGTTAGCTGACGAACTTTTCGCCCTGTTCAAAACAAAAACCATTGAAAAGCTTATTTAACAATACGAAGGATTGTGTATTAAAGAAATATGATATATACCTATATATATCAAACAGTGACTTAATACACCAATATAATATACTAAATAACGATAAGTCTAAATATTGAGACCATTGCCAAAGTTATATAAACGCTCGAAACAGAAAGAGAACGCGATTAGGAAGAAGTTGTATGAATGACTTTTATAAATTTCTACAATGGCATACTTATCAGCAGTAGTTGTAGTAGCTGTCTTGGCTGCAATTTCGGTTTCAAGGAGTTTCGCGGTGAATCCGAGCCTTATTCGTACTGTATTTATTTGATTTATACAACATTTAACATTTAATATATCTAATTTTTTTTAATTATTCAATTTGTAGATATTTATATCTTCCCCCACACACACACGCACACATACACACACACACAAAGACACACAGACATAGATGCGTAGACGCAAAGCATTTAATTGATTTTATTTATTAATATATTGCATACAAATATGTTGAGTTTTATTTGGTAAATCAGTTTTTAATGGTTGAATAATTTATCAACTCAGTAATTTTTTAAATTTACTAATTTTTTAGTTCCTCCAGTAGCTATTGACCCTTCAACATCATTGTCACCGGCTACTGTTCCGTACAACTTCAAACTGTACCAGCTGTTCATTCCGGCTGCTGTCTTTCTATTTTTGCGTCTGTTTGAGAACAATGTGATGCGCTGACATTGGGATTGATTTGACTGGAAGAAGTTTCATTATGAGTAAAATCATTCCTTGAGTATACTTTTAAAACATTTCATGAAAAAACTTTTAAAATCATTAAAATTGTCCTTGTTTTTATTATAATGGCTTATTACATTGGCTTATTGTATTTTAGTATTTTGTAGTAGTTGAAGTCTCGAGGGTAGAAATGAAATTTAAAAAATATTCCTTGAAAGTTGAATAATACATTAGCCGTAGTGGTTTTTAGATCGATTTATTGACCAAATGTATCGCATCGAATGCGGGTCTAAATAACTTTGATGAGGGGCCCAAACTTACCGCAAGAGTCAAAAACTGGAAATGCTTTTTTTGGCTTTTTTGAAAATTTTTCGAAAATTTTTCCCATTTAAAGCAATTTTTTCAACTTTTCATGCGTATTAAAAACTGTGGTTTAATGTGTAATTAAACAATACATGTCAGATAATTTTTCAAAATTAAAACTAATTGTTGTTGACCTTGATAAAAGGGGGACCATGGCACTCCCGCTCCCCCCTAACTAATCCACTTGTTGAATAAGCCATTTGTTGAATTATTTGAATTTACTTGTAATTAATTTCTATTAAAAATTTGTTAATTAATAATTTGAAAAAAGGATCCCAACATTTTTTAAAAGAAATAATTTTTTTATTTAATTTAAAAAAAAGTTAACAAAAAGTTGATTTTCAAGTCGGGTGCATAGAAGTACAAAGAAACAATCATTACATAATATTAATAATTAATTAATTAATATTAATAAAGAATACAAATGAATTAAATATAAATTGGTAATTAAAAAAAATCGTAAAAACATGAACGTATAAAAATTAACAAGAATTTTAATCGAATAATTTAATAAAATATACAATTATTGTTTATATATGAAGGTAATTTTTCTTCTTGATAGGACGAATTTAAGATTTAGGCTAAATATAACGTTTAACATACAATCAAATGTATATATTGGTGATGATGATATGATAATGCTTCTATTGATGACGATGATGAAGAAGATGATGACAATGAAGAAGAAGATGATGATAATTTTAATGACGGTGGTGTTGGTTGAAACATTAAATGTTATTATGATTAGAATAAAATTAATAAAAAAAAGAAAACGAATTGTTCAATATATGCACTTTTAAATGAAATATAAATAACAAAAATCTCTTAACGTCTTATAACAACATACGATTTTATTATTATATTTTCACTTGCTACAGATGACTTTAATAATTTTTGCAACATTTGGTTAATGTTTTATAATATATGGTAATGTTACAGTTGTGGATTATTTGAGAGTACCCTTCTTCTTATCTAGAGAGTAAACTACATTGAAAATGTAGACAGGAATAGCTTTGTTGATTGGTTGATCCTTCTTGCATGCCAGCACCGTAAACCTATAGATGCCCTCTTTTGGAAGGTTCAGGGTGAATTTGAATTTCTTCGAGCCCTCCTTTAGCGTTACTTTGTTATTCCATTCTTCGTTTGGATCGCAAAATAATTGACCGACTAGTTGCGTAGTCGAGTTAGAGCAGCCCAACTCTACAGTTACCGATCCACCTTTGTCGATTTTATCAATTATCGGATCTTTGTGAGAGTTTAATTTCAAATTGAATTCATCAAAAGCTGGAGTAGGACCAAGTTTTGATGGCAACGTGGAAGATTTTTGAGGTTCCTTTGATGGAGTTGTTTTTTTCTCGAGAGATGTAAGACCGTTCATAACAGTTTTTTCACTGGGGGTCAGTTCGATGGGATGGTTGACCCTGGAGCAGTTCAGTAGGTATTTGCATGCGTGGGCCAGTGGCTGATTGCTAGAAGCATCATCAGGCTTAGCATAAATATCCAAACCGTACTGCCCTGGTTGTGGGGGAGACACGCGGACCGTCAGTATGGAATCGACCACCGAACTCGTTACGAATTTTTCGAGCAAAGCGTCTTCGATGCTGTTCAGTCTCAGCTTGCAGAGAAATGTTAACGCTCTCGGCATTTGGAATCTTATCTCGACGTCATTATCCAAATTGATGACTCCAGATTGATGTGTTAGAGGAGCCATGTTGAAATGTCGTTTGGCTTTGTTCGGGCCCCACTCACCTGTGGCGCAGTTCGGTAGAGGATGCATTTTGCCAGTGAGTTCCTCGCAAACTATTTTGAATTTTGTAGCGCATTTCAACCTGAAGGGAGACATCGGCGTGTTCGGATCCTCACCAATTTTGTGACTTTCGTTAATTTTGTAAGCAAATATTTCTAAGAAATAAGAGGCAGGTATTGGGACGTGAACGCTGAACAGAGCTGTGGTACCAGACATCGCGTGAAAAACAAATCTTTCAATTTTGATATTTTTATACTCCAGATCATTTCTCCTTTCTCGATCTGCAAACCTCAACTGATAGTGAAAAACAATGTCCTCTGCCAACTCTTCAGGAACGTTTATTTTTACTTCTGACCCTCCCTTGTTATCCGTATGCAGGACAGCCTTCATGACATCTGCAAACTCCATGTTGTAGTGAAAGAAGACAGATCGAACGAACGGTTGTGCCTCAAACTCTTCAAGAGTTAAAGGTTTTTCAAGGAGTTGCCAGTCCGGATCATTTGCCCAGAACTCCTGGATGAATTCATCGGGATCTGTGAGGAAGTAGTGCTCATCGTACTGGTAGCGGATCTTGTCAGATTTCTTCTCCGATGAATGTCTGTTTGACTGGTCTTTGTTTAACACCAAATGCCTGCGATGTTATAAATTTTAGATCTTAGTTTGAGTTTTGAATTAGTTTTTCTTAGATTGGAAACAAAATTAGTAAAAATTTAAATCCAGTAAAAATACTTACTGCTTCAACTTTAATACTTAGTAATTACATTAAATAAAATACATAAATCATTTAAATTGAAAAACGAAATAAAACTTATATTAGTAAAAAACAAAAGAGCTGTCATTTACCTAGCACCCCAATTGCATTGTACAGGCCACCAATCTCCCATGATGAGGACAACATTCCAGGAGTTCAAGAAGGTATCTTCTTTTATTTTCATGCCAGGTTCGTAACCAACACTTTTTGAATGGCCCTTTATTTCTTCGCATATCAAACCGGCGTAGCTGTACAAGTTTTGTAAAAGAAATTTTCTTCAGAATGAAATAATATTATTAAAGCAACAAACATTTCGGTGACAATTATTTGTGCAACAACTTAAGAATCTTCTAGAGAAATAAATAATAATGTACAGAAATCATTATATAATTTCATAAACATTTCCATGTCAAAAGAATGCATTAAAAAAGAAATTTTAAATGTTAGCCACCTGCAAAGTCTTTTAAAAAGTGTCTGATAAGTTTCGGTTCCAGTTTTAATTCCTTTGAGAAGACCAAGAGGAGAATCGTTGGTGAGACTTTCATCAAACTCCATAACGTTCAAGTCTTTCACGGTAATCCATCGGAAGATGGCTCTTCAAACATCATTCATTTCGATTTAAAGTTCACATATTTTTTTTATCTATTTTAGAATTTCCATCTATTAAAAATATTTTTTATAATTACCACATATAGTTATCGCAAGCTAAAAAATTTATTTCTATGTGTATATACATACATAAATATAATCAGGCTTAACAATGAAGAGTAGTATCTCACCTGGCTTTTTGTAAGTCACTGATACAATGTTCAGTTAACTGCCTGACAAGCTCTGTGAATGAGATCTGTTCAGATTCTGCTACCTGTATTTCGGCAAACATTGAAACTTTTATAAGTCTAAAAAGCCGGTTTATAATTATTTTCCTATGCACGTTGTCAGATTGGCATGCAATTATTTGTTTAAGTATTTCTGTTTGATTGAAATAGGTTTCGTTTAATCTCTATGATAATTTTCTAGCGATGCTTTATAAATTTAAATATAGGTAGTGCCTATCTTTCACATTTATGCTCACTTACAAATAACTAATAATTTACAAATGTACAACTTACTAATAAATAATTCGTCAAAAAAGTAGAACACAAAAAAAATTCTGTAAAAACCTTGAAGACATCTTCATCGAGTTCGACGAAGACAGATGGGTCGATGTACAAATCTCTCTTTCTTATTCTGGGCGCGTGTGGGTCTGGCCTCTCAGTGTTCAGCTCGATGGCTGCCATTGCCTCCTCTATCAGTTCGGGATTCTGTTCGATCTCATCTCCTACCGCGGTCCTCTAGATGGTCGATCCAATTTTTTTAACTTGAATATCATTTTGTAAAAAATTTTTGTATCGACCTGACGATGTCAAATTGAATGCTTCGTTGGAAGGCAAATACGTTGTGTGATGATGAGAATGATGACAACGATGGCAAGATCACGATGACAAAAAGGGATGATGATGATAATATGACAACAAACAAATTAATCTCCACCAAGAAACCTACAATTTCTTCCTCAAGTTCCTTCTTGACTTCATCTTGTTTCGATTTCAGGAGAGCCAACATTTCCTCGCTGTGTTTCTTCACCATGGTGGCGGTTTTCAGTTGGGCTTTGCTCTGCAATCTCACACTCATGGCTTCCTTCTTCTTCATCATTTTAACTGTTAATGTTTTTTTCAGTTCTGCTTTATCCTTCTCAAATTTATCTGACGACATCTATTTGGTGAAAATATTTTTCAATTAGTGAAGCAGCGAGTGTTAAATTAAATAAAATCTTAAAAAAGATGAATAAAGTCAATGCGAACATTTTGTTTTTCTTTCTTTTCGTACTGACGAGCCATTTGTTCCAGTTCCTTTTCCCATTCCTGGTTGAACTCCTTTTCCATGTTCTCCACTTCCGCTCTGTTTTCCTTCTGAATTTCTGACATCAATCGATCCTCTTCCTCTCTCTGCTGTTTCTCGAGGTCTTCTTGGTATTTATAGAGCGTTTCTTTTGCTTTGTTAACCTTGAAAAAACATTAAACTAATTTTTACAAAAACGATACAACAGTGAAAAACATATTCGTTGAATAAAAGTTGTATAAAAAGCAGCAACCAGATAAGCCGGAAAATGATGTTTATCATATTTCGTGCTGTACTTCTTCTGGTAGGCACTCTGCGCGGACAGAGCCCCCCTGATGTGAAGAGCGTCAGAACCGATCCTCGGTGCGTCACCTGTACCTCGGATGTGCAAGTTGTGTTGGACCACCCCGGGCACGTTCAGAGCGGATCGAATTCCCATTGCGCTGGCATCGTATCCGTGCGCTGAAACTTTCGGAGCATCTTTTTGACAATATATCTCTTTATCGGTTAAGTCCGTATAATTTGTGAAATAAGTTTTAAGCGTCAAGTGCTGACCACATCGGCAACATCTGCGTGCGTCAAAATTATTTTAGAACTTATAAATGTCCAACTATTTAAAAAATGAAATTTTTGAAAGTGCATGAATAGCAGAGAATTTTGAACAACATTTAAATGCATTGGTATAGTTTTTCAAATTATTAAATTATTCTGATCATATATTGAACTAAAAGATTAAATGAAAAGATTCATATGGTTTTAAACATGTTAAATGTTTTATCAAATTCACCTGAAACACTGCTTGTGGAAGATGACTTCATTAACGGGGCCAATCTTTTCCACCTGGTAGACCCTTTGCGAACATCTGGTACATTTTTCAGAGGGTGGGGGTACAAAAATTTTTTTTAAACTGGTCATTTCCGGTTGATTTTAATTCGTATTTCCTTCTTTTGTTTATATTTAAAAAGCACAAGCAATTATTAAAGTTTTAGTATTCCGTTCATCCGTCTATTGCAGCCCAAATATATCATCTCAATTCAAAGATTGAAACTCAACTTCAGTAGCAACACTCCAAATGATTTTGACAAAAACTTCTGATTACAATTTACTTGCAACAGAACAACGACGACAACATTATGAAGACAACTCATGCGTGTAGGACTATCGTCGAATCACCTGTATTGCATAGGAGCACAACATACAAGCTCTGCCGTATTCTACAGGTAAGACATGCAAGCAGTACAACCATAACAATGCACGCACGTACTACTTACTTCGTACTGCTTCAATTACATTAATCAAATAAACGTGCTACCGATGTGCAAATTATAATAAATATCTTTTTATTTTATTGATTAATTTAAATACTATACAAATATCATTATAAATATTAATAAGGCATGACTAAAACCGAATGACATATTTTAAATAATATCACTCATCATAGGAGCAGTGATTAACTCGAAAATCGTGCAAGAATTTTGAGAATGCATTAGACGTTTTCGTCATTTGTGAACATTTTAATATTATAGTTTAACTGAATTCCGAGAAAGCGGAGCTAATGAATATTTGAATATTAAAATTCGCATCCACAATTTCAATAGTGTACAATCTGTTACAATTATCGTGTAACAATTTATTTGGTTGCGTAAACGTTTATGAATTGTATATAATGACGTGAGTGATATTCAACATGACGTCATCAATAAATGAAATTGTCCAATGGTTTTTTTCGACTCATTAAAGAGAAATCTGGAAGATGGAGCACCGTCAGGCCAAATTCCCAATTTTTTTCACTCATTTGATGCCGAAAGAACGTGACACTTTGCAAGACATTCATGCGATGAATTTTATTTCTTTAGAATTTAAATAAACTCTAAGCGATAAGCTAAAGTATAGGATGCAAATATGGCGATCTTCATATATGCATCGAATCTGACGCTTTTTTAGATTTCATGCTTTTTGTTGCTTTCCGAGCAGTTTCGTTTCGTTTTTTTTATTTTAGTCTCGAAATGATTTCATTTTACTATCAGTAAGTGGAAGATGCTTAGATTTCTAAAATAGGTCCAAATTTTGCATGCATTCTAGTGCTCCCACCTCTCTTAGCTTCTTTCAATAATGCTAACAATTAAATAAAATTCTATTGACACCAATTAACTTAATAATCATAATCTATCACACAATGTTAAGTGTGAGTTATTACGCGCACGCACACACACACACACACACATTTAAAAACGTGAGCAAGCATTTAAAGATTATTTGTCATTCTTAAGTCATCTACTCTTTTTTTTACTTTTTTCTTCCAACAACAAACAACAAACAACAACAACAACTAACTAAATATTTTATTTTCAAATTACTTCTAGAAAAATGAAAACAAAAAGTAGTTGATTTTATTTATTTAAAATGCATTTATTGGCAAAATTTATCATCAAAATATTAGAAGTAGTATTTCACCTTTCTATGTTATCATGGATAACTTTATCCTATCAAATAAACAATTCAATATGAAAAATTCTATATAGTAAACACGCATATGAATAAGTTAACAAAATCATTAGAAGATAATATTCAATCAATCAACCATACAATCGATCAATCAATCATACAATCAATCAACCAACCAATCATACAATCAACTCAATTGATGAAATAGAAAACCAGCATAAAATATTAACAACGATATTACTATATTACACAAACACAAATATATCCTTATTCTTTTACTTCCCGCCACAGTAGAAATTAAATAACATTTCAATGGTAAAAACAGAGAAATAAAAGATCACAAGAATAATTTTAATATAAATATACTAAAAAATCACATCGACAAAGAATTTAATGGCAGACGACAGATAATAAAAAATAATTAGATATTATCCATACAAAAAACTCTTTTAAAAATTTAATCAATAATGGTATTATATTTTACTATTATGATGGTTGTCTATTGGTGTTTAATAGTAATTATTAGTAAATATTAATAGATTTGTAATAAAAAAAATCTAGCCGAAAAGGTAAAGTTTATAGAACAATGAAAAATTAAGCCAGTGCACACACACACACACACCACACATCTAAACACACATCTACCTACATTATCTGAGCATATTTTCAGAAAAACGTTATAACCATCACCAGCACAATTAACACAAATATATTTATATATATATACATACATATATATTTATATGTGTGCACAGTCTAAAAACATTTATAAGTATTTATTCAGCAACAAATCAACAATAATGACATGACAGCAAACAGTAATATCATACAGTAATTATTGGAAGAAACAATCACCAACTATACAAATATAATGTATATTCAACCCACAAAAAACAACATTATTCGAAGAAAATATAAAGATAACATTAGTAACAACTAAAACAATTTAATTAACAAAAAACAAAACATCCTTGATACATTCATATTTTACGATAAACTAAACAAAAAACAGTTAAGAAGATCAAATACCATGTAACCAGCAAACATCACAGAACAAAAACTAATCCATACAAAACACTATAAAAAAAAACAAAAAATATACAACTAAATGTAACACATGCAGAGAGAGAGAGAGAGAGAGAGAGAGAGAGAGAGAGAGAGAGAGAGAGAGAGAGAGAGAGAGAGAGAGAGAGAGAGAGAGAGAGAGAGAGAGACCAAACTAGAGCCTACAGAGGCAGAAGACGATAGGAACAAAGGCAGCGACAGCAATGATGACAGGCAGAAGCATACTACTGGGATCCTCGCTGGCATACGGATCTGAAACCTTCAATTCCGAAACCGGTCTTCGGCGTTTTTGTTGATTTGATTGTTGATGTCTGCTGCTGCTACTGTCCTGCTGCATCATCTCCTCTTCTTCATCATCCTCGTTGTACTGATGCTGGTGCTCCATGCTCTGAAGTGGAGGCAACAATGGCAGATCTGTGTGTATTTTCAATTTCAGAATTGATGAATATATGAAAAATAAAACTATTGTAGCTATTTCAGTTCAAACTTCAAGATAAACGTCAATTTAATCATTGTTTGGTTACTATTGAACGAGATATATATGTAAAGTTTAATGACATATCAACACAAAACATGTACTAAGAAGCAAGAAAATGAAATAAACAAGTGAATAGACTACAAGTGAATAGACTGATATACATAAATAGATTAACAGATAAATAGACAGACACAATTGTAGAAAACAGCAGGCAAAAATAAATAAAAAAAAAATGAACGCATACCATCAACACTGCCCTTCATGATGTAGATTGCATTTACTTTAGGGTTGTCATGCATCAGCTGTAATTGAATAATTTTTTAAATACTCAGCATAATTTTATATGGATGACTTTAACCATCCTTTACATCATAATCACCTTAGTATAAAATATTAAGGACAAACCTCACTACCAAAATTCACGCTGATTTTGAAATAAAAACATCATAATGATGCCATTACATGTTCTAGCTTTAGTGATATTAATGAAAATAAGTGACCACTTAAAAAACAACTGAAATCATTCATAACAATTAATAATTATAACCTATAACTAATCAGACTGCTAGCAAGAATAATAACAAGAGTGAAGTAGCAACAAAAGTAGCAGAAATTAAGTACAAGCAGAAGAAACCTTGACAAATTCGATATTGAGGACACCGTTGAATGTGGAGGCCTCCTTGTTAACAGTAAGGATGCCATTCTTAACTGAGAATGGAATGATTTCGTCATGGGCTACACCAAGACCGACCGTCGCGAAGATGTCCAGGTGGTCCACCACTATGTGGTCATTCATCTGGACGTCGAATATCTGGTTTTCAATACAGATTTTAAAAAAAAATTTAGCTGCAATATGTCAGGATAAATATACAATATTAGTGAATATACAAGATAAACCACAAACATTACTGGCATTTACAAATTGACTTCTTGTTTAATACAGCCACTGCTTAGATAATAATAATGAACAAATGCGAATGTAAAAACAAATAAATTATATAATTTAAAAAAATTTGTACCAAGATAACGGGACCCAAACAACATTAAAACATTTTTGGTTGCTGGGTACGTAGTCTAGACATTGATTTTCCTGATCTTTGTCTGTGTCAAGAGCACTAAGATGCTCAAAAACACCAAGTGTATCAGGTTTGAATGATCTTTATCCTCAATGTCATCTCAACTATTATTTACATTAACAAAATGGAAAATAAATAAACCAAAAATAAAATTATCTATTAATATTATAAAAACTTGTACCAAGATAACGGGACCCGAACAACACCAAAGTAGTTGTTGAGTACGAGGTCCAGGCATTAATAATTTTCCTGATTTTTGTCTGTGTCAAGAGCACTAAGATGCTCGAAGACACCAAGTGTATCAGGTCAGGCCATTCCCATCTTTGTAATCATAGTTTAAAAAAGTATGAAGAATTTTTATAAAATGTGTAATTTGTAATGACATGCAAATGAAGAGCATTGAATATAAAATTTTTTTCTTTGTACCAAGATAACGGGACCCAAATAACATTTAAGTAGTCGTTGAGTACAAGTTCTAGGCATTAATAATTTTCCTAATTTTTGTCTGTGTCAAGAGCACTAAGATGCTCGAAGACACCAAGTGTATCAGGTCAGGCCATTCCCATCTTTGTAATCATAGTTTAAAAAAGTATGAAGAATTTTTATAAAATGTGTAATTTGTAATGACATGCAAATGAAGAGCATTGAATATAAAATTTTTTTCTTTGTACCAAGATAACGGGACCCAAATAACATTTAAGTAGTCGTTGAGTACGAGTTCTAGGCATTAATAATTTTCCTGATTTTCGTCTGTGTTGAGAGCACTCAGATACTCAAAAACACCAAGTGTATCAGGCCATAATAATTTCCATGATGGCAGGGTAAAAATCTAATTTGAAGATTATATCCATTAAAACTATGAAACGATTATTTAATTACATAACAAGAAACAACAACAACAACACACATTTAGACGACATTTTTCCCGAGATCGGGGGTTGCCGTTTGGCTATCTATGATGAAACCGAAATACCCCTCGACGCCATCCACATCTGTCACTCGCCTCAGTATCACGCAACCCCGCTTTCACCCTGTCCTTCTCCACCTGCTCTCTCCATCCCAATCGCGGACGACCCCTTCCTACCACTCCTTCAACCTCGAACTCCAACACTCGCCTAATCCCGACCCTTTTATCCCTTCTCAACACATGTCCATACCACCGCAATCTCGATCTCCTTATCAATGTCACAATGTCCTCATTCAGTCCCATCATTGACATCAGCTCTGTACTACTCCTCCTATCCTTCACTTTAACCCCACACATCATCCTCACCATAGCTCTTTCAGCCCTCTGCAGTACACTTTCCTTCTCTCTCCTCAACACCCAAGTTTCACCACCATATACCATCGCTGCTCTCACACATGCTTTATATACCCTCCCTTTTATCTTCACTGACCATTTCTTTCCACTCAATTACATAACAAGAATAAATAATAATTCAGATCTATATTTTTTATTAATAAATTAATTAACCTTTCTATTGGGCTCTGTGAACCAGACTTCACTGAACTTCATGACGAGAACGTAATCACCGTCACTTCTGATCGGAACGGAATATGCGAAATTGCTCGTGTGATACCTTTCAGTTTGGTACAAAATTTGATCTGGTGGGGGCGCCCTTCTTATCGTTAGAACTTTTCCATGATCGGAGGGAACGCCAATGTTTAGCGGATCTTTTTGGTAATGGATGCCGTACACATCCACGTGGGCCCCACCACCGCAATTTACGGCGTATATTATTTCGCCTATTCCATGAGAGGACGTTACGTGTAATATTAATGCTATTAAGAATATAAAATATCTGCTTTCAAGGTGCAAACACAAACGCCGTCCTAACACGTCCATGCCTCAAAACTGTAACACGGAAGTGACGCGCAGTGGAGATGGGCTGGCTGAAAAAAAAAATCCAAATATCAAACAAAGCACTTTTAACCGTTTACGTGTCACTATACTTATTCTACATACATGGAGTCACAAAGTATACTGTCATGGTGTGCTTTTATTTCAATTATGATCTATAGGTATTAACATTAACACCCATTTTGGTTTAAAATAAAATTTACTCAAAGTTTTTCTACCGCAATTTGTTGCCAAATAGGCAAACGTACGGTAGACGTTGAACTTTTCAATTTTTCTAACGGTTGATCGTAAATCATTTTCAAGTTTCTTTAGTTCAAAACCAAAAAGACATACAAACACGACGAAATACAAAAAATACATTATAAATGAATGAATTACAAAAAAGCAAATCAGTGCTTATCAAAATATTTGAAGAGATGATTTATAACTTCACATCTGCATGCATATGCATATTTATGACGTGTTGATTACGTAATAAAGTCCTTATTATTCTTCTTGTTGTTGTTATCTTCATCACCACCTCATGCATATTCAAAGAACTAAAATTTTAACACAAGGACAAGGCTAAGATAAACATGCATATATTAGTTAAAAAAACATATATCAGTGTTTTGTTTCCTTTTTAAATGAATTATAAAATAACACACACAATCACGTGTGTGTGATTGTTAGTAAAAACACATTTGTCGTTTAAAATTTATGTTATACATACAAACAAACATTTTAGTACACACATAAGCCACATATATTAAACAAAATTTTAAAATGTACAATTGTACATACACATAAAATATATACAAATTCATTCAAAGGCATAATTAAAACGTACAGTCAATTTGCATCATCACATAATTGCCTCATCACGCATATCCTGCACACATTCATAAAAACACGTGTATTTATTACATCTAAATACACGCATGTATAACATATACTACATACACGTACAATCACATGCAAACACACACACACAAACACACACACACACATATAACATGCACTTGCACATCAGCTACTTCTGCTTGTATACGCTTGGTATCATAATTACCAGCAACAACTGCAGCAACAATTCCCTACACGTGTATATGTCTACATCTGCACGTACACACACTCACACACAGACACGCACACGTTTTTATAAGCACACACACGTATATATTCGTATTTATCCACTGGTTTTTATAAACTAAGATACCTATATATACATATATATATACACACACATATATATATATATATATATGGTACGTAAGTATATATCTATAACTATATATATTTATATTGATATTATGTTGTGTTTTATACTTAATTTTCACTGAGATGTCTCTACCTTGGATTTAAACCATGGATTGGATATACGTCTTCATCATGGATTTATATGCGAATTCGCATATATGTTTATAAAAAATCACATGTATGTGGAAAGCATGTTTTATTAATATAGATGATTATGCATATCTATATATATAATATATATACAAATCCATATGAATAGTATATATTGAATAGTATATATTCACATGTGAATGTACTTGTACATGCACATATACATGCACGGGCTCTCATATGTACGGAACATTCACATTATGTGTATGTATACAGTTCAATAATCCCAATGTTTATAAGCTATTTATAGCCAGTCCCATTTCCATTCTACTACCCCACCCGTCAGTCATCTCATGAATATTAATTAGTTTGAATTTAAATTTATTTATATAAGGATGTTTGCATGCATTAGCATTGATAGATAATAATTTATTATCAGACGGCTGAGTTCAGTTGTTGGGTTGTCTTGTTGTGCTGCTAGGAACACGTTTTGTTTGGACAACAGCTGCAGAAAAAATACTGACAAGTATAACAACAACAATTATTGATGGCTGTTAATAAGAAATTAATCAATAAAATATTGACAAACATAAAAAAAAACAAACAAGACATTATTATTATTATTTTATTTTTTATTTGTAATATATGATTAATTTGACTCAATGATGCATGTTTTAGTTCTGTAGTTTTATTTCGAACTCTGTGTGTATTCACTATTCATTCAGAATTCTGCGATAAATTTGGCTAAACTTCAGACTGTGATATTTAATGCTAGCAATGAGACGAAAATATAGTTAGAAGTAAGTTTCTGTTGTTTTGTATTTTTTGTATTATTTATAAGTATAATATATCATTAATAAATGTATGTTTGCCGTGTCATGCGTTTGCTTGTTCCAAGTGATCTCATTTGGAACATCATTTATGACTGCCGATAAATAAAGTTATCATTAATCATCATCATCAAAGTTATCATTATGATACGACTTCGTAAATGACCAGAAGTTTTATCACATCTTCAGATTAGTCTGTATATTAAAATATTTTAATAATTTTCTAATACAGATTAGTTAACGTTTTAAAATTGAGTCACTTTTTGAGAATAAAAATTAAAAAATGTGTGTATTTATAATACAGACACACAATGAGAACAGCGCGATAAACATTACATATTAGATTTACACACGTGTGTGTGTGTGTGTGTGTGTGTGTGTGTGTGTGTGTGTGTGTATGCAACGTATTCACTTCCACTAACTAACAGTGTCCATTAGCCCATTAGCCCACAAGCAGGCTAAAGCAAATAGAACGAAAGAAAAGCAAACATAGTGGGTGACAGGATAAGTGGATGAATAATTGACAGGTGAACTTTCACCTCTACAGATGGCATGGTCACAAATGATTAACCGAATTTAAATATTCATTTCATTAGAATTTGATATACTTAATTGGTATTCATTTGGCCTTTCATATGTGTGTGTGTGTGTGTAGCCTTTCGTGTCAGACGTTATGTTGTTATGTGTGTACTGTTTATATAAAAACGTACGCGATTGCAGATTAGAAAATAAATGTAACGAATTAAATTGTTTTGAAATATTCAACAGGTTTCATTTTGAAAATACTGCCAAGATGAGTGGTACGAAACATCAACACCAGCCAGAAAATGAGGACGTGGTTCAGCTGAGATCAAATCCTCCCATTGATTTAAAATCAGTGAAACCGTTCAAAACGAAAGACGAGTACCTCTACGCCATGAAGGAAGATCTGGCAGAATGGTTCCACGATCTCTACAACTTGCCAGTCACTGTGGACAATTTTTTCGAACACTTAGATAACGGCACACTACTCTGCAAACACGCCAACACAATTCTCAGTTTTGTCAATTTGAACTTCGACCCAACACAAACACGACAGTCAGGCACTTCAAACGTTCAGAACGGCGCAGAGAACACAAACACTGCAGCAGCAGCAGCAGCGACGACGACGACGACGCTCACTTACAGAAACAGCGCTCAGATAGGCACATTCCAAGCACGCGACAACATTTCAACATTTATTGCCTGGTGTCGCTCCTTTTTGGGAATTCCCGATACCATCCTTTTTGAAACTGAGGATCTTGTCTCCAGGAAAAATGAACGTAACGTCGTTCTGTGTTTGCTGGAGGTCGGCAGAAGGGGTTCCAAATTCGGAGTCCTCGCTCCACAGCTTGTTCAACTGGAGAAAGAAATCGATGACGAAATAGCCAGCATGACGCGGACGAACGGACATTCGAACACGCCGAAACTGCAGAGATCCGGATCAGCAGCTTCCTCCAACAACAGCGTTTCAAAGGCGAGCAAGCCAGCCCCTCCAGAGAAGATCATTGCTAAGAAACCTGTCATCGAAGTCGATATGCTGAGTCTTGATGAAATGGTTAGTTTGGTTCATGTGCCGTTTTTAACATGGATATACGCATATAGTGGAATAATTCAATTCATGTCATGCAATTTGTATCATGCAAATACTTAGAGATCTTATAAATTCTGAGGAATTAATAATTTGTTATGAAATATTGTTAATACGCAGCTTTCTTATAAGAAAAATTTCCAAAATAATTATTAAAACGTTTTTTTTATGACGAATTCATTTAAATCAAAACGTTGGTTAGTATCAATCACTGCGGATAACAGACTTGATAATAGAAAAATTTCAGAATCTCGGTTGATCTGATAATGTTGTCTGATAAATTTATCCTATGACCTTTTAAATGAAATGAGCATTTTGATTTATATCTTTATACACTTGAACATATATGCATATGTCTTTTGTATATACACACACACACACACACATATATATATATATAATGTATACAATACATATGTATGCACATGCAAACACACATACATCTTTTTGTACTGTGCAGGTACAAGCATAAACACATGAAATTTATATCCATTACTAAAGTTCGTGAGAGTGAGCGTGTTTCGATTTCTGCACAAGTAAATGGATCAAAATATTTACGACCTACATGCATACATAAGAGGCTCTGCGTGAGGAAAGCCCCTATAAAAATAGCTTTGTTTAGGATAAATTCGAAAAAATGTCATAAGTTTCGACAGAAAATTGTTTTTGCCCCCTGCACAATAACATTTTGATTTTGAAAAATTACAGCCCCCAGAAGAAATTTTTGGAAAGGCAACTGGTGTACACGCATTTATTACTAGCTCCTACAATTTTATAAATTAAACATAGGCCGAAGCTATTTATTGAAATATGCTGCAAACCACAGTTACTTGCTATCAAATAACTCATTTCAAGTGCAACTTTTTTAAATCAACAAAATAAATCTACACGAGAGATCATGTTCCATCAACGAAATTGTCATGTGAAGCCTGCTAGTCGCATCAACATCGTCATTTAGCCCTTGAGTTCAATCACGTCCACTTGAAATTCCCTTTCTGCCCCTGAGAAAATTAGATGCCAGAATCATATTTTGATCAGTTGAACATTTGCAAGAATCAGAATAAAAAGCGTTAAACGCTGCAAAGAAGTAATAAAATCTCATGTAATTATGTAATAGCTACAAAACAACACTGCATTCAAATAATTAATTTTGCCACGAACTCCAACTTAAGCATTCACAATACAGCAACTTGATTGATAAACAATCAGGACTACATCAATAAAATTTAGATAATTCTCAATTGTATTGTAAAAATATTCAACAACATATTATTATGTCACTCAGGTACGCTTGATATTGAGTAGATGCAGATGTGAACACCAATACCCAATGATCAGATTGTCCGAAGGAAGGTACACATATGGAGACAATTTGACACCTATCTTTATGAGGGTAAACAGTTTTTGTTATTGTCGTTTGGCACCGATATTAAGAATAATATTGATTATTAATACACGTTCTATTTATTATTATTACTTTTCATATTAGCTTATCACGTAATTTCTCCTCCAAATTTTATTCAACAAATAAAAATAGCATTACATAGAGAAAAATTCAAAGAAACTTAACAAATTTAAAAAAATCCAGCAAAACTCATACGGAACAAAATTACGAAACACTGTGCCTAGACAACATTTTAATCCGAACCAAATACAAAACGTTTATTATGGAAGTTAATCAAATATTAATTAAAAAAATTTATTAGTAATCAATAAATTAAAGAAAAAAAGGCAAAACAAAATGCACTCTTTGAACTTAAAGGCTCGCCTTATAAGTTGAGATTTTAAAAAAAGTTCACTTCAGAAGGGGAGCAACTATAAATGTTAAGGGGAACTTGAGATGAGCATTGACTGACGTGGTATTGTATTATGTTGTATCTCTAACACCGCAGACAATAAAGAAAACATTTTTTTCAATGTTTTCACTTTAGTATGTATAAGTACACGGGATACTAATGTATACAATGTTGTATGTGTGTAATATATACAAAAGTGCATATATTTATATTTGTCTGTACTACATTACGTTCTATTTTGACTGGTGTATGGACTTAATTCAGATAAGTAAACATGAAGGTATCAACGTGTGTATGTGCATATAAATGTACCCATGTTTTATATGTATAAGGTGAGTATAAATAGTTACAATAGATACAAGGATGAAATAAATATCTTACATAGAGAAATATTGACCGGTTTATAACAGGATTATTTAGGATTAAACAGGATTAAAAGAGGATTATTTGTATGTTTGTATATGTAGGTATGTATGTATGTATGTATAATTTTGTACACATTCTATACACCTGTAGAACTTGTACTTGTTTTGGTAAATAAACGCTTGAATTTGTGAGTACATACAC